GTGGCCAGACTTACCAGGTCAAAACATTATATATATATATATATATATATATATATATATATATATATATATATATATATATATATATATATATATACAGTTCTGAAAAATGTAAAAATTTCAAGATGTGATTTAATGACATCATTGTTATAGTATATATATATATATATATATATATATATATATATATATATATATAAAGTAGGGATGTCAAAATTAATTGTTTTTTCGGTGCACCGCGATGCAGACGAGAACAATTCGATATCGGTTCAGTAATAATCATAACCGTTATTATTTACTGACGTCATTTATCTCTTATACGCGGTCACAGTAGAATACTATGGCGAAGGAGGCGAGGGCGAGTAAATAAAACACTCCTACTACTTGAAAGGTAGATAATTATGCACAGTTTGCTCTTCTTTCAAGCCGACAAGAAAATTAATGAATGAATATATTTCTTTATGATTAAGATGCAAGGATGTGTTATTATACAGCTGATGCAGAATAAAACTGCATAATTCAGAAAAAGTAGTAATACATGGTCACACATGAACTTTCTTGCAACTGCAAATGTATCTATTGTTTTTAAATGTGCAGATCTAATTTATAATTATGCTTTTCATACTTTGCAGTTGTGTCTTTTTAATTAACAAATAGCTGCGTCAGGTTATTTTATTATTAAATCAGTATATGTGCACATATGAACATTCATTTTAGGAATATTTTGTGTATAATAATAGTGAATAAATGTATTGAAAATGCAAGTAAATGTTTAAATGGTTGTAGACTAGGATGTTACATTTAATTGTTTCCGACAAAGACGTGACAAGCTCGGCCACGACAGTGGAAATTTCCGCTAACTAATCAGTGCAGCTTGTTTCTAGTGTAGGGCGGGCATAATTTGCAAGCTGAAATGCTATTGGCTGACATGTGATTAATGGGGACACCTGCAAGGGAATAAATGCCACACGCAGGCTAGCGTCTTGCCTGAAGACACGGACAAGAGGTAAGATGTGCAAGAGATGTGTGCTGATTTAGTACGTTTAAAGTTACATTTTGTAAAATTGAAACATACAAGTGATTGGTATTGATTAATTTTAGTGCATATATCATTATTGCACTAAAAAACTGTTGTGGGTTTTTTTTTATTTTATTTTTTATTAGTTGTACAACACCACTATAAGCCTTGCAAACAATCATCAGTACTTCTATCACTCTTCATATAGGTTTTAACATGTCAAATTAATACCTGTAACGAAGCCATAGAGAGACAGATGTTTATTTTAGGCCATTTTCATAAGTTACTTTAAATGGTTTCTAGCATTTTTTTTGGTTCAATTTCTACATTGTTTATTATAGTGCAATATACCCTATATTAAATTTTTCCAGTTAATGTTCCCACATCCTATTTTTATTCATGATTAATTCACTTTTTAAGCTTTAAGCATAATTTCTAACAAGGAAAACTAGTTTTCTATTAATTATTTGAATGTATCAGTACTCCCATCAGAAATACACTGTTATTAGTTTAGTTATTTTGAAAAACTGTTTATTTTTTGCCCCATTTACTGACGTGTTAACCAAGCATGACTGTTTTCTCACTGTTCTATTTAATTAGGTCACTGGATCAGAACTGCAGGAGTGATTGTAGCAAGTCCCTGAACAGCCTAACTTTATTCACCTCTAGACTTTATCCCTAACCGTCTGCTGCTATTTGATCTATCTGATGGTGGTATCAGCTCTGACTGATTCTTTGGTTAAATCTGTTTTTCAACATTTTCACTGGGACTTTATTAGCATTTGAAGTTGTGCATGTCATTTTAACGTCTCGTAGACTTTAAATGAGGTGATAGACATCAGTTTTAAGATGTGCAAATATGTAGTGTTTTGAGTGTGTAGTATACAGATCTGCCAAGTGTGTATTGTAAGTGCATTAAAGTGCTTATTTTAGTCTTCCTGGATGAGTTGGAAGAAGCTCATGGGTTTTTAGTAGTACAACACTAAGAAACCTTGTAAATAATTAGTGCTCTTAAATCTGTCTTCCTTTTGACATGTTAAGTTTTAACATGTCCAGGCAGTGATGACTAACACATTCGTCTCAATAATGGGTAATTTAAAGTTATTTTAGTCAGCTCCCTTTATACAATTGCACCTTTTTAATCTTTAATTATAACATTTTCTTTAATGTCGATTTTCAATTGATTTATTGAAATTAATTGTTTATTTGCCCAATTTTCTTGTATGTTAACTATGGTAATGACTTTAACCACAACAATGTTTCTTTTTATTATTAGGTCTCTGGATCTGAGGTGAAGGAGTAACACTGGCATGGAGTCCTTCAACAGCTGACCTTAATTCACCTTTGACTTATTCCTGAGCAGCCTCTGTCTGCTGCTCTTGTATCCATCTGATGGTGGTATCAGCTTGGACTGATTGTTTGGTTAATCTGTGCTTTAAACCATCTTCATAGAGCCTTTACTAGCACTTCACATTTTGCATGTCTTTTTAAATGAGGTGATGGACATCAGTTGTAATTAATACATGAAAATGTAGTGTTGGAGGGCTCCTGGAGTGGTTAATGTTTTTGTGTAGTATAAATGTGCCAGGTGTCTTTGTTTGCAAAATAAAAGGTTAAATGTGATTTTTGTACTCTTCATGATTAAGTATTACTCTAAACCCTGGACTTCATGTTTAACAATCAAAGGATTTATATCAGGTGCCGCGTAAGCACGGAATGGTAGTTTATTTATTTTTTTATTATTATTATTATTATTATTATTATTATTATTATTATAACTTGTAACAATTTACATATTATAAATGACTACTCACTCAAGAGTGGTCTGAATTGAGCAAGCAACAGCGGGATACAAACTTTTGACTTTGTTGATTTGTGGGATTTAAACCCTGAAGTTCCTTAACACTAATAGGAATTCTCTACTTGCTGCGACAGAATCTGGAACAACACAAGGATGATTTATATGGAGTGACTTTTTTTGGAACTGATTAACTTAACATTAACTCAAGGGAATGTGATTAAGTCTTTGTTTTAAACCTTGTTGAATCTGAATTACTTAGTAAATATGAATTCTGGTGTTTGTGGGATTTTAAGGCAGACCAAAAACAAACAAAACTACCCACTGCAACACAATCTAAAGTGGTGCTAGATTGTTTTAAGTTGAGTTTTGGTCTTTTTGGACCTGAATTACCTAGTAAGCACTTTACTGATTGCGGAATTCAAACCCAATAGTTTCACAAAGCAAACCATTATCCACTGTGCCATCCAAACCAACATAAGCACGTTTTAAATGGGCTTTTAAACTTTTTTGAGGTCTGCATTACTTGGTAAACTTGAATTTTGATAACAGTGGGATTTGATCCCAAACAGTTCACCACCAGAGCACAAACAACTATCCTCAGAGCCACAGAGCATGACAAACTTTATTTCTCAAATGTCTAAAAGACTTTAAGATTAAATTGAATGTTTTTACTTTGAACTTAATTTATCAAAATCCACTTCAAATTTCATCAATCATGGGATTGAACACAGACTTAGTGTAGCACTACATAACTAACTCTAAACACAATGACAAACAGATCTGCAACCAATTATAACTTAAAATCACTATATTTAATGTCTTTCATTTACTATATGACCAGACAGCTAATTGTATACTCATCACCTGCACCTAATCAACAGTCAGCATGTGTCAGTGTTCAACTTAATACGAACTGTGTCAAACTGAAAGTCTATATTGATGCTATCCAGCTCAGTCAACACAAATGTTTTTCGTGTTTTATCTGACACCTTTGATTCTGCTAACTCTCACAAATCTCTTTTCATGCAGTCATGATGCTATCCTGTGTCATTCTCACCAAAATGAGACCTTATGTTTCCCGTAAGCTTACTGAGATCAAGATTTCTCTTCCTTGTGGACAATAAGTGTATCATTAAAATATGGAAAAGCAGTAGGATTCAAAATGAGGAGGTGTGTCTAATCCTGCTCCGCTTTCCTGAGTTTAACTACAACCTGATTGAAAACACCTGGGAAAATCAAGATCTTCAGGATTGAACATCCATGCAGGTTTGTGCTCTGTTTTTAACTCTTATCAAAGGTATTTGCTTTAATTAATAAGTTATTTTATTTGGATTTGACATGTAAAGGGTTAATAAAGATCATTAAATACTGGTTATGGGTCAGTTTTTTGAGTAATTGACATTTTTAATCAAGTTACTCAAGCAGAAGTACTAATAGACATACTACTAGACATAGTGAGGTTTTGTCATGCAAATGTCCACAATTTCAAGTAAATTTTTAGTGGTGTAGTTAATAAAAATCCACACAGGAGTAAATGATGCATTAAGGATCATTAAAGTAAATTTTAAGTGATGTAGTTCACAAACAAACCACACAGGAGGGCACAATGTGAAAGATTAATAAAGGATTTTTTTGTGATGTAGTTCACAAAAATCACCACAGGAGGATATATTAAATTAAGGGTCAATAAAGTCAATGTACTTAAAAATCACCACAGGAGGGCGCAATGACGTCAATTTGTAGCAATGCAATTCACAAAAATTACCACAGGAGGGCATATTAAATTAGGTATCAACAAAGTCAATGTACTTAAAAATCACCACAGGAGGGCATATTAAATTAAGGGTTAATAAAGTCAATGTCCTTAACAAATCACCACAGGAGGGCGCAATGATGTCAATTTGTAGCAAAGCAGTTCACAAAAATCACCACATGAGGGCGCAGTGAAGTCAATTTGTGATGTAGTTTACAAAAATCACCACAGGAAGGTGCAATGAAGTCAATTTGTTGCGATGTAGTTAGCAAAAATTGCCACAGGAGGGCGCATTAGTCAATTTGTTTTGATGTAGTTTGGGAAAATTCACCACAGGAGGGCGCAATGATGTAAATTTGTAGTGATGTAGTTTACAAAAATCGCCACAGGAGGGCGCAATAAAGTAAATTTGTAGCAATGTAGTTTACAAAAATTACTACATGATGCTACAATCAATTAGACAGCATGTAGCTACACAGACTCAGTGGTGCAAGTAGTAATGAGCTGTGATTTAAATCGTGACGTCTTTAGTTCGAATCCAACTAACAATTATGTTAAATTGTGATCATCACATGCAACAAAATCACATAAATGCCACAGTAGAGAGTGAATTAATTGTGGGTGAGTGGACAAGCATGTGCTCTCTGAGAATAAGATGACAATGAAGACATGGGTTCACAACACGGTTACTTTACTATGTTTTTTATTAAAATCACAGCTCAGAACAAGTCAAACATCAGTTCCAGCAGGTGTTCAGACAGGAGATCTGTGGCTCTGTGGTAAGAGCGCTGCCCCACGGCTTCAGGGGTTGCTGGTATCGGTCCCAGCCAGAACTCTGCGATATGTGTGAATGGTGAGTGAGTGTGAGGCGCGCCTGAAGAAGGGGGGATACCAGTTCGGTCTCCCCCTGGAGCTTCCGGAGCCGTGTCCAGCAGGGGTTATACTTTACAGCCTGCCAAAAAATTTAAAATGAACTGTATAAAAATTCTGGACCTTCGTCCCTTCCCCACCCGTTTCGGTTACCATCATTTACTTTCTAGAGGAGTGACCCTCCACAAAGCAAATGATGGTAACCGACATGTGCAAGACAAACACACACACAATCACACACATGATCTACATCACCTGTGCAGCAGCAGATGATCATCATCAGTACAGTCAGTGTCTGTCCACACGTCTCTGCTTCTGTTCAACAGGCTTACAGTCCACAACACTTCACTGATCCTGTAGAGCAGACAAACAAATACACACATTATTACACACACTGAATATCTGATCTAAAAATAGACAAATATTAGATCAGTATCAAATATTGTGCCCTCCTGTGGAGATTTCTCTGAACTACACTTTTGCAAATCTTGAATTTACTGAATTTGAAATATTCGCCCTCTTGTGGGGATTTTTGTGAATTGCACTGCTGCCGCTCTAAAATAATGAAAGTTTCAGCCTCGTGTGGAGAATTTCTGAATTACACCTTTGCAAAACTTCAATCTACTGAATTTAAAATATTCGCCCTCGTGTGGTGATTTTGGTGAATTACACAACAGCAAATCTAATTGAATGAATTTAAACACGTCGCCCTCCTGTGGAGATATTTCTGAATTACACCTTTGCAGATCTGTTGATTTGAATGATTGTGGTGATTTTTGTGAATTTCAGCACAGCAAATGCAAAGCATTGAGATTTCAGCTTCCTGTGGCGCAGCTGCATTTTCATCCACTGATGGTGACAACCATAAACATTTTATTGTGTAAAAGAAAGCAGGAAGTGTTGAGGTGTCTGCGGTATTAAAAGTGTTAAAATGTCTTAAATCACAAAAGCAAAGTTTTAGACCTTCAGAAGTCTTAAATCAACTGAAATATTGTGTTATAGGTCTTAAATCTTATTTAACAGCTCTTAATTTTCCCTTGTTCATTTATAGCTTCCCAATCTGGCCATTAATACCCAGACAATCACCAACAATCTCAATACAACTTTCAATTTTTTTATTTAAAAATAGCATTTAATTACTTTCCCTACAGTAACATTTGCTAATAAGTTATTTATTTATTGCTGAGGATACTGACCTGACCTAGATTTGTATTATTAAATTATTATTAAGATTGTTGTATTAAATGTTTTACGTTATAATCGTTTTTAAAGGGCAATGGAAAATCTTTTCCAACTGGGATATTCAAATAAAATCCTCAGCATTTAGCCCTGTATAAGTCTAACATTTCATTTATAATGGTCATTAAAATGTCTTGAATTTGACTTGATGAAATATGCAGGAACCCTGATTTAATCTTTGGCATGATTTTGATCAGTGAATGAAGTTAAACATGACCTCATTTAGTGATGTGTTCAGTCAGAGAGTCTCTGTCTCTGTCAAATCTCTGTTTTCAGGATCTACCAAGCCAGGTTTGAGGTCATGGAGAGCTCTTGAGCAGAACTTTATTCTTGATGGACTAGAAACAACTGTTTACTGAATTATTTGCCGTTTTATTTGTTAATTCTTTTCAAAGTAATTTCTTTTATATGCTGGAGAGACTTTCTGTGTAGCAGCAGCTGCCAGTCTGGATGTAGATTATACCAGTATTCAACCAGTCGTTTTGGTCTCACCTGGTAATTTCCCTCCTGACAATGTCCGTGTGTTTAACCACTGTTTAATCTTTAAAGCACACACTTAAACATCTGATCATTTATAAGTGATTATTTTGCTCGCTTTATTTAAAACTTCAGGATAAATGCTCGAATAACAATATGGAAAAATCAAACAAATATTAATGTAATATAAAACTATTGTCAAAAGCTGATGACTACAGACTTGACATAAAATATTGCCAAATCAAATGTAAAATATTGTACTTTAAAGCTTGTGACTTTCTCATTATGCTGTTATTCACTCTAGATCGTCATTTAGTCAGTATGTAATTAATGCATCACACATCAATAAACACATTTAATTTATCTGACGAGCTCTTATATCGGGGATGCAGAATGTTTTCATTGCTTACAGATTTCACTGACGCAGACACAAGTAATAATTATACCAACAAAAACACAACCACATTTCCTTTCATGAATGCCTTTTAAAGATGACTGCTTTTTAAAAATCATATATTGTATTAAGCTGTGCATGAAGTGTTAAATTATAAGTATTTCTGTTGCTATATTAAGATGCAACAAGTGGATTAAAAAATCTTGTAAGCTCTGTAATAAAGCAGATTTGATCAGTCTTTCTCCAATAGTATCTGGATGCAGACTTGGATTTGCAAACTGAGACTGCATAAATCAGACTTGCAATGTAAGACGTCACTGTAAGGTGTGGGAGTAGGTGTGCGCATTAAAGCGCAGTGTCCATCCGCTCCACTAGGCGGCATCAGCGAGCTGCTCTTTTAGCCTGAACACCTTTGACAACAGCGCCACAGATCATCACAGGTACACCGTTTTACTGGCGTCAAGTTGAGCTCCAGCAGATGACAGCTCAGTGACAGACTCATAATGTCAGTCAACAGCACATATTACAGCCCGACAGTGAAGAAAAGCGACACAAAGTGCAGACATGGAGAGTAACGCGACTCACCTGTAAGTGACTTTGTTTCGGTGGGTTTGTTTGTAGTGATGTTGCTGTAGTGTTTGTGTTCAGGCATTGCTCTCTCTCCTCCTCTGCAGCAGTGAAGATACACACGTGTGTCTGTTGTGTTTCTGCTGCACATCTTTCCTCTTTCTGACGCTCCTCCACACACTCCTCCACATCCAGGCGGATTCACAGCTCCAGTAAAGGTATTTATGAGCTCATATTTCCAGTAGAGAGTCCAGAAAGTGTGTTTGTTGTGCTGCTGCTCTGTCGCGTGTATGTTGGGGGAGGGACTTTCTGTAGAAAGCATCTGATTGGCCAGATTTGGTGTAGAGTCCTCAATACAGTATGAGGAGACTTTAGAGGTAAATGATGATATTTACAGTGTTTAATTGTGTTTAGTGACATTTAAAGCCCCACAAGCAGCTGTAAGATCATTTAAAATATGGTTGATGTGTTTGACTGAAGAATAAGCAGGTTTTTTACATTTTGAACAATGAAATATAATAATATATCAGCATATGATGTAGTTTGAATGTATTTTGAATCATTTACATTTGATATTAATTATTTGTGTTTATTTAGATTTTTTTTTCAAAATGTGTAAATGTGGTCATCCTTACACTGGAGAAAGAAGTGTGTGTTTGTGTGTGTGCTGATGGTGTAGTGGTCAGAGCACACAGCCTGAGATGTGAAGTTCTCACAGTATACCTGGGTTCAAATCTGAGTCCTGTTACTGCTCTTTACTGCTGATCTAAATACAAAAAACAAAAGTGTTTTCCTCAATCCTGCACTGATTACTTTCCTGTCAGCAGTTTCTTTGGTTTGATCCACACAGCAAAGTGAGTTTCGTACCCAAGCCTCTACCGTAGTCTCGTTCACATTGACTGTGTGTTCAGCCACTAGCCCATCATTGCTTTCATGCTGCTTGGGCCACTTTGTCTGACTGAATTCCAGCAAATGACAGTAAAGTAAGCAATAGAGAGATTTGAACCCAGGTCTCCTGCATGAAAGCACATTGCTTTATGACTTGAGCCACTGACAGAGATGAATTTACACTGCTGGAAATTGGTTTTATTGAGAGTTTTGAGAAAGATGTGATGTAATTGTAGCAAGTGAGGGACTCAATCCTTCAGTCTTCTGTATGGCAGTCAAGCACTCATCCACTGAGCCACCGGAGTTAACTATTGGTATTATTTTTTGTGAGCCAAATTACAAAGACAATAATCTCACATCACGGTTCAAATCAGGAAATAGATAAAGCTCCATTAAAACATTTTCTTCACCATCCAGACTCTGTGGCTCATGTTATAAAGTGTTGAACTTTAATCAAAGAGACCCGGGTTCAAATCTCACTATGGCTAATGTCCAGCTTGAGCTTATTATATTCACCATCAGTGTCCTGCCCTGATGATGGAAGCTGATGGTGAATATAATGAGCTCAAGCTGGATGATGATGTGAAACTCATGATGATTGAGTGAATAAACACAAGTTCTCTGAGGAAGAGACTCATAAAGACAAGAGTTCACATCTGACTTGTTCTAGCAAGAGTGGGATTTGATCCTTCACACTTCTGTATGATAGTTGAATGCTCATCCTTTAAACCACAGAGCTTGATTTTTGGAAACGGTTGTTTTGTGGACCAAATTACAAAGAAATATGTGTCAAACCTTGGTCATGATGGAGTTTGTGATAAAGCCCCATTCAGATATCTCCTCCAACATCAGACTTGGTGGCTCAGGTCATAAAGTGTTGGGCTATAATCAAGAAGACCCGGGTTCAATCCTCACTATGGGTAATGTTCAACTCATTATACAGAACACAAGTTCTTTGAGGAAGAGACTCATAAAGACAAGGGTTCACATCTGACTTGTATCTTGTTTTATTGAATCAGCTCACACACAGGTCAGCAGTCAAACATCAGTTCCAGCAGGTGTTCAGACAGGAGATCTGTGGCTCTGTGGTAAGAGCGCTGCCCCACGGCTTCAGGGGTTGCTGGTATCGGTCCCAGCCAGAACTCTGCGATATGTGTGAATGGTGAGTGAGTGTGAGGCGCGCCTGAAGAAGGGGGGATACCAGTTCGGTCTCCCCCTGGAGCTTCCGGAGCCGTGTCCAGCAGGGGTTATACTTTACAGCCTGCCAAAAAATTTAAAATGAACTGTATAAAAATTCTGGACCTTCGTCCCTTCCCCACCCGTTTCGGTTACCATCATTTACTTTGTAGAGGAGTGACCCTCCACAAAGCAAATGATGGTAACCGACATGTGCAAGACAAACACACACACAATCATACATGATCTACATCACCTGTGCAGCAGCAGATGATCATCATCAGTACAGTCAGTGTCTGTCCACACGTCTCTGCTTCTGTTCAACAGGCTTACAGTCCACAACACGTCACTGATCCTGTAGAGCAGACAAACAAATACACACATTATTACACACTGAATATCTGAGCTAATAATAGACAAATATACAAATATTACATATGTAGGAAATATTGCGCCCTCATGTGGAGATTTCTCTGAACTACACTTTGTCAAATCTTGAATTTACTGAATTTAAAATATTCGCCCTCTTGTGGGGATTTTTGTGCACTGCACTGCTGCTGTTTTAAAATACTGAAAGTTTCAGCCTCGTGTGGAAATTTCTGAATTGCAGCGCTGCGAATTTGGTGAATTACACAACTGCAAATCTAATTGAATGAATTTAAACATGTCGCCCTCCTGTGGTGATGTTTCTGAATTACACTATTGCAGATCTGTTGATTTGAATGATTGTGGTGATTTTTGTGAATTTCAGCACAGCAAATGCAAAACACTGAGATTTCAGCTTCCTGTGGCGCAGCTGCATTTTCATCCACTGATGGTGACAACCATAAACATTTTATTGTGTAAAAGAAAGCAGGAAGTGTTGAGGTGTCTGCGGTATTAAAAGTGTTAAAATGTCTTAAATCACAAAAGCAAAGTTTTAGACCTTCAGAAGTCTTAAATCAACTGAAATATTGTGTTATAGGTCTTAAATCTTATTTAACAGATCTTAATTTTCCCTTGTTCATTTATAGCTCCCCAATCTGGCCATTAATACCCAGACAATCACCAACAATCTCAATACAACTTTCAATTTTTTTATTTAAAAATAGCATTTAATTACTTTCCCTACAGTAACATTTGCTAATAAGTTATTTATTTATTGCTGAGGATACTGACCCGACCTAGATTTGTATTATTAAATTATTATTATGATTGTTGTATTAAATGTTTTACGTTATAATCGTTTTTTAAAGGGCAAGTGAAAATCTTTTCCAACTGGGATATTAGAGACAAATCCTCAGCATTTAGCCCTGTATAAGTCTACAATTTCATTCATAATGGTCATTAAAATGTCTTAAATTTGACTTGGTGAAACCTGCAGGAACTCTGATTTAATCTTTGGCATGATTTTGATCAGTGAATGAAGTTAAACATGACCTCATTTAGTGATGTGTTCAGTCGGAGAGTCTCTGTCAAATCTCTGTTTTCAGGATCTACCAAGCCAGGTCAGAGGTCATGGAGAGCTCTTGAGCACAACTTTATTCTTGATGGACTAGAAACAACTGTTTACTGAATTATTTGCCGTTTTATTTGTTAATTCTCTTCAAAGTAATTTCTTTTATATGCTGGAGAGACTTTCTGTGTAGCAGCAGCTGCCAGTCTGGATGTAGATTATACCAGTATTCAACCAGTCGTTTTGGTCTCACCTGTTAATTTCCCTCCTGACAATGTCCGTGTGTTTAACCACTGTTTAATCTTTAAAGCACACTTAAACATCTGATCATTTATAAGTGATTATTTTTGCTCGCTTTATTTAAAAGTTCAGGATAAATGCTCGAATAACAATATGGAAAAATCAAACAAATATTAATGTAATATAAAACTATTGTCAAAAGCTGATGACTACAGACTTGACATCAAATATTGCCAAATTAAATGTAAAATATTGAACTTTAAAGCTTGTGACTTTCTCATTATGCTGTTATTCACTCTAGATCGTCATTTAGCCTGTATGTAATTAATGCATCACACATCAATAAACACATTTAATTTATCTGACGAGCTCTTATATCGGGGATGCAGAATGTTTTCATTGCTTACAGATTTCACTGACGCAGACACAAGTAATAATTATACCAACAAAAACACGACCACATTTCCTTTCATGAATGCCTTTTAAAGATGACTGCTTTTTAAAAATCATATATTGTATTAAGCTGTGCATGAAGTGTTAAATTATAAGTATTTCTGTTGCTATATTAAGATGCAACAAGTGGATTAAAAAAATCTTGTAAGCTCTGTAATAAAGCAGATTTGATCAGTCTTTCTCCAATAGTATCTGGATGCAGACTTGGATTTGCAAACTGAGACTGCATAAATCAGACTTGCAATGTAAGACGTCACTGTAAGGTGTGGGAGTAGGTGTGCGCATTAAAGCGCAGTGTCCATCCGCTCCACTAGGCGGCATCAGCGAGCTGCTCTTTTAGCCTGAACACCTTTGACAACAGCGCCACAGATCATCACAGGTACACCGTTTAACTGGCGTCAAGTTGAGCTCCAGCAGATGACAGCTCAGTGACAGACTCATAATGTCAGTCAACAGCACATATTACAGCCCGACAGCGAAGAAAAGCGACACAGAGTGCAGAAATGGAGAGTAACGCGACTCACCTGTAAGTGACTTTGTTTCGGTGGGTTTGTTTGTAGTGATGTTGCTGTAGTGTTTGTGTTCAGGCATTGCTCTCTCTCCTCCTCTGCAGCAGTGAAGATACACACGTGTGTCTGTTGTGTTTCTGCTGCACATCTTTCCTCTTTCTGACGCTCCTCCACACACTCCTCCACATCCAGGCGGATTCACAGCTCCAGTAAAGGTATTTATGAGCTCATATTTCCAGTAGAGAGTCCAGAAAGTGTGTTTGTTGTGCTGCTGCTCTGTCGCGTGTATGTTGGGGGAGGGACTTTCTGTAGAAAGCATTTGATTGGCCAGATTTGGTGTAGAGTCCTCAATACAGTATGAGGAGACTTTAGAGGTAAATGATGATATTTACAGTGTTTAATTGTGTTTAGTGACATTTAAAGCCCCACAAGCAGCTGTAAGATCATTTAAAATATGGTTGATGTGTTTGACTGAAGAATAAGCAGGTTTTTCACATTTTGAATAATGAAATATAATAATATATTACCATATGATGTAGTTTGAATGTATTTTGAATCATTTACATTAGAATTTTATTTATATTATAATTTTATATAAATTATTTGTGCTTATTCAGTTTTTTTTTTTCAAAATGTGTAAATGTGGTCATCCTTACAGTGGAGAAAGAAGTGTGTGTTTGTGTGTGTGCTGATGGTGTAGTGGTCAGAGCACACAGCCTGAGATGTGAAGTTCTCACAGCATACCTGGGTTCAAATCTGAGTCCTGTTACTGCTCTTTACTGCTGATCTAAATACAAAAGTGTTTTACTCAATCCTGCACTGATTACTTTCCTTTCAGCAGTTCCTTTAGTATGATCCACACAGCAAAGTGAGTTTCGTACCCAAGCCTCTACCGTAGTCTCATTCACATTGACTGTGTGTTCAGCCACTAGCCCATCATGGCTTTCATGCTGCTTGGGCCACTTTGTCTGACTGAATTCCAGCAAATGACAGTAAAGTAAGCAATAGAGGGATTTGAACCCAGGTCTCCTGCATGAAAGCACATTGCTTTATGACTTGAGCCACTGAGAGAGATAAATTCAGACTGCTGGAAATTGGTTTTATTGAGAGTTTTGAGAAAGATGTGATGTAGTTATAGCAAGTGAGGGACTCAATCCTTCAGTCTTCTGTATGGCAGTCAAGCACACATCCACTGAGCCACCGGAGGTAACTATTGGTATTATTTTTTGTGAGCCAAATTACAAAGACAATAATCTCACATCACGGTTAAAATCAGGAAATAGATAAAGCTCCATTAAAACATTTTCTTCACAATCCAGACTCTGTGGCTCATGTTATAAAGTGTTGAACTTTGATCAAAGAGGTCCGGGTTCAAATCTCACTATGGCTAATGTCCAGCTTGAGCTTATTATATTCACCATCAGTGTCCTGCCCTGATGATGGAAGCTGATGGTGAATATAATGAGCTCAAGCTGGATGATGATGTGAAACTCGTGATGATTGAGTGAATAAACACAAGTTCTCTGAGGAAGAGACTCATAAAGACAAGAGTTCACATCTGACTTGAATCTAGCAAGAGTGGGATTTGATCCTTCGCACTTCTGTATGATAGTTGAATGCTCTTCCTTTGAACCACAGAGCTTGATTTTTGGAAATGGTTGTTTTGTGGACCAAATTACAAAGAAATATGTGTCAAACCTTGGTCATGATGGAGTTTGTGATAAAGCCCCATTCAGATATTTCGTCTAACATCAGACTTGGTGGCTCAGGTCATAAAGTGTTGGGCTTTATTCAAGAAGACCCGGGTTCAATCCTCACTGTGGGTAATGTTCAACTCATTATACAGAACACAAGTTCTCTGAGGAAGAGACTCATAAAGACAAGGGTTCAGATCTGACTTGTATCTTGTTTTATTGAATCAGCTCACACACAGGTCAGCAGTCAAACATCAGTTCCAGCAGGTGTTCAAACAGGAGATCTGTGGCTCTGTGGTAAGAGCGCTGCCCCACGGCTTCAGGGGTTGCTGGTATCGGTCCCAGCCAGAACTCTGCGATATGTGTGAATGGTGAGTGAGTGTGAGGCGCGCCTGAAGAAGGGGGGATACCAGTTCGGTCTCCCCCTGGAGCTTCCGGAGCCGTGTCCAGCAGGGGTTATACTTTACAGCCTGCCAAAAAATTTAAAATGAACTGTATAAAAATTCTGGACCTTCGTCCCTTCCCCACCCGTTTCGGTTACCATCATTTACTTTCTAGAGGAGTGACCCTCCACAAAGCAAATGATGGTAACCGACATGTGCAAGACAAACACACACACAATCATACATGATCTACATCACCTGTGCAGCAGCAGATGATCATCATCAGTACAGTCAGTGTCTGTCCACACGTCTCTGCTTCTGTTCAACAGTCTTACAGTCCACAACACGTCACTGATCCTGTAGAGTCGACACACAAATACACACATTATTACACACTGAATATCTGAGCTAATAATAGACAAATATCCAAATATTACATATGTAGGAAATATTGCGCCCTCGTGTGGAGATTTCTCTGAACTAGACTTTGTCAAATCTTGAATTTTCTGAATTTAAAATATTCGCCCTCGTGTGGTGATTTTGGTGAATTACACAACTGCAAATCTAATTGAATGAATTTAAACATGTCGCCCTCCTGTGGTGATGTTTCTGAATTACACTATTGCAGATCTGTTGATTTGAATGATTGTGGTGATTTTTGTGAATTTCAGCACAGCAAATGCAAAGCATTGAGATTTCAGCTTCCTGTGGTGCAGCTGCATTTTCATCCACTGATGGTGACAACCATAAACATTTTATTGTGTAAAAGAAAGCAGGAAGTGTTGAGGTGTCTGCGGTATTAAAAGTGTTAAAATGTCTTAAATCACAAAAGCAAAGTTTTAGACCTTCAGAAGTCTTAAATCAACTGAAATATTGTGTTATAGGTCTTAAATCTTATTTAACAGATCTTAATTTTCCCTTGTTCATTTATAGCTTCCCAATCTGGCCATTAATACCCAGACAATCACCAACAATCTCAATACAACTTTCAATTTAATTACTTTCCCTACAGTAACATTTGCTAATAAGTTTTTTATTTATTGCTGAGGATACTGACCTGACCTAGATTTGTATTATTAAATTATTATTATGATTGTTGTATTAAATGTTTTACGTTATAATCGTTTTTTTAAAGGGCAAGGGAAAATCTCTTCCAACTGGGATATTCAAATAAAATCCTCAGCATTTAGCCGTGTATAAGTCTAACATTTCGTTCATATTGGTCTTCAAAATGTCTTAATGTCTTAAATTTGACTTGGTGAAACCTGCAGGAACTCTGATTTAATCTTTGGCATGATTTTGATCAGTGAATGAAGTTAAACATGACCTCATTTAGTGATGTGTTCAGTCGGAGTGTCTCTGTCTCTGTCAAAGCTCTGTTTTCAGGATCTACCAAGCCAGGTCAGAGGTCATGGAGAGCTCTTGAGCAGAACTTTATTCTTGATGGACTAGAAACAACTGTTTACTGAATTATTTGCCGTTTTATTTGTTAATTCTTTTCAAAGTAATTTCTTTTATATGCTGGAGAGACTTTCTGTGTAGCAGCAGCTGCCAGTCTGGATGTAGATTATACCAGTATTCAACCAGTCGTTTTGGTCTCACCTGGTAATTTCCCTCCTGACAATGTCCGTGTGTTTAACCACTGTTTAATCTTTAAAGCACACTTAAACATCTGATCATTTATAAGTGATTATTTTTGCTCGCTTTATTTAGAAGTTCAGGATAAATGCTCGATTAACAATATGGAAAAATCGAACAAATATTAATGTAATATAAAACTATTGTCAAAAGCTGATGACTACAGACTTGACATAAAATATTGCCAAATCAAATGTAAAATATTGTACTTTAAAGCTTGTGACTTTCTCATTATGCTGTTATTCACTCTAGATCGTCATTTAGCCTGTATGTAATTAATGCATCACACATCAATAAACACATTTAATTTATCTGACGAGCTCTTATATCGGGGATGCAGAATGTTTTCATTGCTTACAGATTTCACTGACGCAGACACAAGTAATAATTATACCAACAAAAACACGACCACATTTCCTTTCATGAATGCCTTTTAAAGATGACTGCTTTTTAAAAATCATATATTGTATTAAGCTGTGCATGAAGTGTTAAATTATAAGTATTTCTGTTGCTATATTAAGATGCAACAAGTGGATTAAAAAATCTTATAAACTCTGTAATAAAGCAGATTTGATCAGTCTTTCTCCAATAGTATCTGGATGCAGACTTGGATTTGCAAACTGAGACTGCATAAATCAGACTTGCAATGTAAGACGTCACTGTAAGGTGTGGGAGTAGGTGTGCGCATTAAAGCGCAGTGTCCATCCGCTCCACTAGGCGGCATCAGCGAGCTGCTCTTTTAGCCTGAACACCTTTGACAACAGCGCCACAGATCATCACAGGTACACCGTTTTACTGGCGTCAAGTTGAGCTCCAGTAGATGACAGCTCAGTGACAGACTCATAATGTCAGTCAACAGCACATATTACAGCCCGACAGTGAAGAAAAGCGACACAAAGTGCAGAAATGGAGAGTAACGCAACTCACCTGTAAGTGACTTTGTTTCGGTGGGTTTGTTTGTAGTGATGTTGCTGTAGTGTTTGTGTTCAGGCATTGCTCTCTCTCCTCCTCTGCAGCAGTGAAGATACACACGTGTGTCTGTTGTGTTTCTGCTGCACATCTTTCCTCTTTCTGACGCTCCTCCACACACTCCTCCACATCCAGGCGGATTCACAGCTCCAGTAAAGGTATTTATGAGCTCATATTTCCAGTAGAGAGTCCAGAAAGTGTGTTTGTTGTGCTGCTGCTCTGTCGCGTGTATGTTGGGGGAGGGACTTTCTGTAGAAAGCATTTGATTGGCCAGATTTGGTGTAGAGTCCTCAATACAGTATGAGGAGACTTTAGAGGTAAATGATGATATTTACAGTGTTTAATTGTGTTTAGTGACATTTAAAGCCCCACAAGCAGCTGTAAGATCATTTAAAATATGGTTGATGTGTTTGACTGAAGAATAAGCAGGTTTTTCACATTTTGAATAATGAAATATAATAATATATTACCATATGATGTAGTTTGAATGTATTTTGAATCATTTACATTAGAATTTTATTTATATTATAATTTTATATAAATTATTTGTGCTTATTCAGTTTTTTTTTTTCAAAATGTGTAAATGTGGTCATCCTTACAGTGGAGAAAGAAGTGTGTGTTTGTGTGTGTGCTGATGGTGTAGTGGTCAGAGCACACAGCCTGAGATGTGAAGTTCTCACAGCATACCTGGGTTCAAATCTGAGTCCTGTTACTGCTCTTTACTGCTGATCTAAATACAAAAGTGTTTTACTCAATCCTGCACTGATTACTTTCCTTTCAGCAGTTCCTTTAGTATGATCCACACAGCAAAGTGAGTTTCGTACCCAAGCCTCTACCGTAGTCTCATTCACATTGACTGTGTGTTCAGCCACTAGCCCATCATGGCTTTCATGCTGCTTGGGCCACTTTGTCTGACTGAATTCCAGCAAATGACAGTAAAGTAAGCAATAGAGGGATTTGAACCCAGGTCTCCTGCATGAAAGCACATTGCTTTATGACTTGAGCCACTGAGAGAGATAAATTCAGACTGCTGGAAATTGGTTTTATTAAGAGTTTTGAGAAAGATGTGATGTAGTTATAGCAAGTGAGGGACTCAATCCTTCAGTCTTCTGTATGGCAGTCAAGCACACATCCACTGAGCCACCGGAGGTAACTATTGGTATTATTTTTTGTGAGCCAAATTACAAAGACAATAATCTCACATCACGGTTAAAATCAGGAAATAGATAAAGCTCCATTAAAACATTTTCTTCACAATCCAGACTCTGTGGCTCATGTTATAAAGTGTTGAACTTTGATCAAAGAGGTCCGGGTTCAAATCTCACTATGGCTAATGTCCAGCTTGAGCTTATTATATTCACCATCAGTGTCCTGCCCTGATGATGGAAGCTGATGGTGAATATAATGAGCTCAAGCTGGATGATGATGTGAAACTCGTGATGATTGAGTGAATAAACACAAGTTCTCTGAGGAAGAGACTCATAAAGACAAGAGTTCACATCTGACTTGAATCTAGCAAGAGTGGGATTTGATCCTTCGCACTTCTGTATGATAGTTGAATGCTCTTCCTTTGAACCACAGAGCTTGATTTTTGGAAATGGTTGTTTTGTGGACCAAATTACAAAGAAATATGTGTCAAACCTTGGTCATGATGGAGTTTGTGATAAAGCCCCATTCAGATATTTCGTCTAACATCAGACTTGGTGGCTCAGGTCATAAAGTGTTGGGCTTTATTCAAGAAGACCCGGGTTCAATCCTCACTGTGGGTAATGTTCAACTCATTATACAGAACACAAGTTCTCTGAGGAAGAGACTCATAAAGACAAGGGTTCAGATCTGACTTGTATCTTGTTTTATTGAATCAGCTCACACACAGGTCAGCAGTCAAACATCAGTTCCAGCAGGTGTTCAAACAGGAGATCTGTGGCTCTGTGGTAAGAGCGCTGCCCCACGGCTTCAGGGGTTGCTGGTATCGGTCCCAGCCAGAACTCTGCGATATGTGTGAATGGTGAGTGAGTGTGAGGCGCGCCTGAAGAAGGGGGGATACCAGTTCGGTCTCCCCCTGGAGCTTCCGGAGCCGTGTCCAGCAGGGGTTATACTTTACAGCCTGCCAAAAAATTTAAAATGAACTGTATAAAAATTCTGGACCTTCGTCCCTTCCCCACCCGTTTCGGTTACCATCATTTACTTTCTAGAGGAGTGACCCTCCACAAAGCAAATGATGGTAACCGACATGTGCAAGACAAACACACACACAATCATACATGATCTACATCACCTGTGCAGCAGCAGATGATCATCATCAGTACAGTCAGTGTCTGTCCACACGTCTCTGCTTCTGTTCAACAGTCTTACAGTCCACAACACGTCACTGATCCTGTAGAGTCGACACACAAATACACACATTATTACACACTGAATATCTGAGCTAATAATAGACAAATATCCAAATATTACATATGTAGGAAATATTGCGCCCTCGTGTGGAGATTTCTCTGAACTAGACTTTGTCAAATCTTGAATTTTCTGAATTTAAAATATTCGCCCTCGTGTGGTGATTTTGGTGAATTACACAACTGCAAATCTAATTGAATAAATTTAAACATGTCGCCCTCCTGTGGTGATGTTTCTGAATTACACTATTGCAGATCTGTTGATTTGAATGATTGTGGTGATTTTTGTGAATTTCAGCACAGCAAATGCAAAGCATTGAGATTTCAGCTTCCTGTGGTGCAGCTGCATTTTCATCCACTGATGGTGACAACCATAAACATTTTATTGTGTAAAAGAAAGCAGGAAGTGTTGAGGTGTCTGCGGTATTAAAAGTGTTAAAATGTCTTAAATCACAAAAGCAAAGTTTTAGACCTTCAGAAGTCTTAAATCAACTGAAATATTGTGTTATAGGTCTTAAATCTTATTTAACAGATCTTAATTTTCCCTTGTTCATTTATAGCTTCCCAATCTGGCCATTAATACCCAGACAATCACCAACAATCTCAATACAACTTTCAATTTAATTACTTTCCCTACAGTAACATTTGCTAATAAGTTTTTTATTTATTGCTGAGGATACTGACCTGACCTAGATTTGTATTATTAAATTATTATTATGATTGTTGTATTAAATGTTTTACGTTATAATCGTTTTTTTAAAGGGCAAGGGAAAATCTCTTCCAACTGGGATATTCAAATAAAATCCTCAGCATTTAGCCGTGTATAAGTCTAACATTTCGTTCATATTGGTCTTCAAAATGTCTTAATGTCTTAAATTTGACTTGGTGAAACCTGCAGGAACTCTGATTTAATCTTTGGCATGATTTTGATCAGTGAATGAAGTTAAACATGACCTCATTTAGTGATGTGTTCAGTCGGAGTGTCTCTGTCTCTGTCAAAGCTCTGTTTTCAGGATCTACCAAGCCAGGTCAGAGGTCATGGAGAGCTCTTGAGCAGAACTTTATTCTTGATGGACTAGAAACAACTGTTTACTGAATTATTTGCCGTTTTATTTGTTAATTCTTTTCAAAGTAATTTCTTTTATATGCTGGAGAGACTTTCTGTGTAGCAGCAGCTGCCAGTCTGGATGTAGATTATACCAGTATTCAACCAGTCGTTTTGGTCTCACCTGGTAATTTCCCTCCTGACAATGTCCGTGTGTTTAACCACTGTTTAATCTTTAAAGCACACTTAAACATCTGATCATTTATAAGTGATTATTTTTGCTCGCTTTATTTAGAAGTTCAGGATAAATGCTCGATTAACAATATGGAAAAATCGAACAAATATTAATGTAATATAAAACTATTGTCAAAAGCTGATGACTACAGACTTGACATAAAATATTGCCAAATCAAATGTAAAATATTGTACTTTAAAGCTTGTGACTTTCTCATTATGCTGTTATTCACTCTAGATCGTCATTTAGCCTGTATGTAATTAATGCATCACACATCAATAAACACATTTAATTTATCTGACGAGCTCTTATATCGGGGATGCAGAATGTTTTCATTGCTTACAGATTTCACTGACGCAGACACAAGTAATAATTATACCAACAAAAACACGACCACATTTCCTTTCATGAATGCCTTTTAAAGATGACTGCTTTTTAAAAATCATATATTGTATTAAGCTGTGCATGAAGTGTTAAATTATAAGTATTTCTGTTGCTATATTAAGATGCAACAAGTGGATTAAAAAATCTTATAAACTCTGTAATAAAGCAGATTTGATCAGTCTTTCTCCAATAGTATCTGGATGCAGACTTGGATTTGCAAACTGAGACTGCATAAATCAGACTTGCAATGTAAGACGTCACTGTAAGGTGTGGGAGTAGGTGTGCGCATTAAAGCGCAGTGTCCATCCGCTCCACTAGGCGGCATCAGCGAGCTGCTCTTTTAGCCTGAACACCTTTGACAACAGCGCCACAGATCATCACAGGTACACCGTTTTACTGGCGTCAAGTTGAGTTCCAGTAGATGACAGCTCAGTGACAGACTCATAATGTCAGTCAACAGCACATATTACAGCCCGACAGTGAAGAAAAGCGACACAAAGTGCAGAAATGGAGAGTAACGCAACTCACCTGTAAGTGACTTTGTTTCGGTGGGTTTGTTTGTAGTGATGTTGCTGTAGTGTTTGTGTTCAGGCATTGCTCTCTCTCCTCCTCTGCAGCAGTGAAGATACACACGTGTGTCTGTTGTGTTTCTGCTGCACATCTTTCCTCTTTCTGACGCTCCTCCACACACTCCTCCACATCCAGGCGGATTCACAGCTCCAGTAAAGGTATTTATGAGCTCATATTTCCAGTAGAGAGTCCAGAAAGTGTGTTTGTTGTGCTGCTGCTCTGTCGCGTGTATGTTGGGGGAGGGACTTTCTGTAGAAAGCATCTGATTGGCCAGATTTGGTGTAGAGTGCTCAATACAGTATGAGGAGACTTTAGAGGTAAATGATGATATTTACAGTGTTTAATTGTGTTTAGTGACATTTAAAGCCCCACAAGCAGCTGTAAGATCATTTAAAATATGGTTGATGTGTTTGACTGAAGAATAAGCAGGTTTTTCACATTTTGAACAATGAAATATAATAATATATTAGCATATGATGTAGTTTGAATGTATTTTGTATAATTTACATTAGAATTTTATTTATATTATAATTTTATATAAATTATTTGTGCTTATTCAGTTTTTTTTTTCAAAATGTGTAAATGTGGTCATCCTTACACTGGAGAAAGAAGTGTTGCTTTGTGTGTGTGCTGATGGTGTAGTGGTAAGAGCACACAGCCTGAGATGTGAAGTTCTCACAGTATACCTGGGTTCAAATCTGAGTCCTGTTACTGCTCTTTACTGCTGATCTAAATACAAAAAACAAAAGTGTCGTTCCATAGTTTTGCACTGATCACTTTCCTTTCAGCAGTTCCTTTAGTGTGATCCACACAGCCAAGTGAGTTTCGTACCCAAGCCTCTACCGTAGTCTCGTTCACATTGACTGTGTGTTCAGCCACTAGCCCATCATGGCTTTCATGCTGCTTGGGCCACTTTGTCTGACTGAATTCCAGCAAATGACAGTAAAGTAAGCAATAGAGGGATTTGAACCCAGGTCTCCTGCATGAAAGCACATTGCCTTATGACTTGAGCCACTGAGGGAGATGAATTCAGACTGCTGGAAATTGGTTTTATTGAGCGTTTTGAGAAAGATGTGATGTAGTTATAGCAAGTGAGGGACTCAATCCTTCAGTCTGTTGAACAGCAGTCAAAGACTCATCCACTGAGCCACAGGAGTTAACTATTGGTATTTTTTTTTGTGAGCCAAATTACAAAGACAATAATCTCACATCACGGTTAAAATCAGGAAATAGATAAAGCTCCATTAAAACATTTTCTTCACAATCCAGACTCTGTGGCTCATGTTATAAAGTGTTGAACTTTAATCAAGGAGGTCTGGGTTCAAATCTCACTATGGCTAATGTCCAGCTTGAGCTTATTATATTCACCATCAGTGTCCTGCCCTGATGATGGAAGCTGATGGTGAATATAATGAGCTTAAGCTGGATGATGATGTGAAGCCCATGATGATTGAGTGAATAAACACTAGTTCTCTGAGGAAGAGACTCATAAAGACAAGAGTTCACATCTGACTTGAATCTAGCAAGAGTGAGATTTGATCCTTCGCACTTCTGTATGATAGTTGAATGCTCATCCTTTGAACCACAGAGCTTGATTTTCGGATATGGTTGTTTTGTGAGCCAAATTACAAAGAAATATGTGTCAAACCTTGGTCATGATGGAGTTAGTGATAAAGCCCCATTCAGATATCTACTCCAACATCAGACTTGGTGGCTCAGGTCATAAAGTGTTGGGCTTTAATCAAGAAGACCCGGGTTCAATCCTCACTGTGGCTAATGTCCACCTTCAGCTCATTATATTCACCATCCTGATGATGGACGCTGATGTGAAACTCATGATGGGTGAGTCAATAAACACAAGTTCTCTGAGGAAGAGACTCATAAAGACAAGGGTTCAGATCTGACTTGTATCTTGTTTTATTGAATCAGCTCACACACAGGTCAGCAGTCAAACATCAGTTCCAGCAGGTGTTCAAACAGAGATCTGTGGCTCTGTGGTAAGAGCGCTGCCCCACGGCTTCAGGGGTTGCTGGTATCGGTCCCAGCCAGAACTCTGCGATATGTGTGAATGGTGAGTGAGTGTGAGGCGTGCCTGAAGAAGGGGGGATACCAGTTCGGTCTCCCCCTGGAGCTTCCGGAGCCGTGTCCAGCAGGGGTTATACTTTACAGCCTGCCAAAAAATTTAAAATGAACTGTATAAAAATTCTGGACCTTCGTCCCTTCCCCACCCGTTTCGGTTACCATCATTTACTTTGTAGAGGAGTGACCCTCCACAAAGCAAATGATGGTAACCGACATGTGCAAGACAATCACACAATCATACACATGATCTACATCACCTGTGCAGCAGCAGATGATCATCATCAGTACAGTCAGTGTCTGTCCACACGTCTCTGCTTCTGTTCAACAGGCTTACAGTCCACAACACTTCACTGATCCTGTAGAGCAGACAAACAAATACACACATTATTACACACTGAATATCTGAGCTAATAATAGACAAATATACAAATATTACATATGTAGGAAATATTGCGCCCTCATGTGGAGATTTCTCTGAACTAGACTTTATCAAATCTTAAATTTACTGAATTTAAAATATTCGCCCTCTTGTGGGGATTTTTGTGCACTGCACTGCTGCTGTTTTAAAATACTGAAAGTTTCAGCCTCGTGTGGAGAATTTCTGAATTGCAGCGCTGCGAATTTAATGAATTTAAAATATTCGCCCTCGTGTGGTGATTTTGGTGAATTACACAACTGCAAATCTAATTGAATGAATTTAAACATGTCGCCCTCCTGTGGTGATGTTTCTGAATTACACTATTGCAGATCTGTTGATTTGAATGATTGTGGTGATTTTTGTGAATTTCAGCACAGCAAATGCAAAGCATTGAGATTTCAGCTTCCTGTGGCGCAGCTGCATTTTCATCCACTGATGGTGACAACCATAAACATTTTATTGTGTAAAAGAAAGCAGGAAGTGTTGAGGTGTCTGCGGTATTAAAAGTGTTAAAATGTCTTAAATCACAAAAGCAAAGTTTTAGACCTTCAGAAGTCTTAAATCAACTGAAATATTGTGTTATAGGTCTTAAATCTTATTTAACAGCTCTTAATTTTCCCTTGTTCATTTATAGCTTCCCAATCTGGCTATTAATACCCAGACAATCACCAACAATCTCAATACAACTTTCAATTTAATTACTTTCCCTACAGTAACATTTGCTAATAAGTTATTTATTTATTGCTGAGGATACTGACCTGACCTAGATTTGTATTATTAAATTATTATTATGATTGTTGTATTAAATGTTTTACATTATAATCGTTTTTTAAAGGGCAAGGGAAAATCTTTTCCAACTGGGATATTAGAGACAAATCCTCAGCCTTTAGCCGTGTATAAGTCTACAATTTCATTCATAATGGTCATTAAAATGTCTTAAATTTGACTTGGTGAAACCTGCAGGAACTCTGATTTAATCAGTGAATGAAGTTAAACATGACCTCATTTAGTGATGTGTTCAGTCGGAGAGTCTCTGTCTCTGTCAAATCTCTGTTTTCAGGATCTACCAAGCCAGGTCAGAGGTCATGGAGAGCTCTTGAGCAGAACTTTATTCTTGATGGACTAGAAACAACTGTTTACTGAGTTATTAACCATTTTATTTGTTAATTCTTTTCAAAGTAATTTCTTTTATATGCTGGAGAGACTTTCTGTGTAGCAGCAGCTGCCAGTCTGGATGTAGATTATACCAGTATTCAACCAGTCGTTTTGGTCTCACCTGGTAATTTCCCTCCTGACAATGTCCGTGTGTTTAACCAATGTTTAATCTTTAAAGCACACTTAAACATCTGATCATTTATAAGTGATTATTTTTGCTCGCTTTATTTAAAAGTTCAGGATAAATGCTCGATTAACAATATGGAAAAATCAAACAAATATTAATGTAATATAAAACTATTGTCAAAAGCTGATGACTACAGACTTGACATAAAATATTGCCAAATTAAATGTAAAATATTGTACTTTAAAGCTTGTGGCTTTCTCATTATGCTGTTATTCACTCTAGATCGTCATTTAGCCTGTATGTAATTAATACACCTCTCATCAATAAACACATTTAATTTATCTGACGAGCTCTTATATCTGGGATACAGAATGTTTTCATTGCTTACAGATTTCACTGACGCAGACACAAGTAATAATTATACCAACAAAAACACGACCACATTTCCTTTCATGAATGCCTTTTAAAGATGACTGCTTTTTAAAAATCATATATTGTATTAAGCTGTGCATGAAGTGTTAAATTATAAGTATTTCTGTTGCTATATTAAGATGCAACAAGTGGATTAAAAAATCTTGTAAGCTCTGTAATGAAGCAGATTTGATCAGTCTTTCTCCAATAGTATCTGGATGCAGACTTGGATTTGCAAACTGAGACTGCATACATCAGACTTGCAATGTAAGACGTCACTGTAAGGTGTGGGAGTAGGTGTGCGCATTAAAGCGCAGTGTCCATCCGCTCCACTAGGCGGCATCAGCGAGCTGCTCTTTTAGCCTGAACACCTTTGACAACAGCGCCACAGATCATCACAGGTACACCGTTTTACTGGCGTCAAGTTGAACTCCAGCAGATGACAGCTCAGTGACAGACTCATAATGTCAGTCAACAGCACATATTACAGCCCGACAGTGAAGAAAAGCGACACAAAGTGCAGAAATGGAGAGTAACGCGACTCACCTGTAAGTGACTTTGTTTCGGTGGGTTTGTTTGTAGTGATGTTGCTGTAGTGTTTGTGTTCAGGCATTGCTCTCTCTCCTCCTCTGCAGCAGTGAAGATACACACGTGTGTCTGTTGTGTTTCTGCTGCACATCTTTCCTCTTTCTGACGCTCCTCCACACACTCCTCCACATCCAGGCGGATTCACAGCTCCAGTAAAGGTATTTATGAGCTCATATTTCCAGTAGAGAGTCCAGAAAGTGTGTTTGTTGTGCTGCTGCTCTGTCGCGTGTATGTTGGGGGAGGGACTTTCTGTAGAAAGCATCTGATTGGCCAGATTTGGTGTAGAGTGCTCAATACAGTATGAGGAGACTTTAGAGGTAAATGATGATATTTACAGTGTTTAATTGTGTTTAGTGACATTTAAAGCCCCACAAGCAGCTGTAAGATCATTTAACATATGGTTGATGTGTTTGACTGAAGAATAAGCAGGTTTTTCACATTTTGAACAATGAAATATAATAATATATTAGCATATGATGTAGTTTGAATGTATTTTGTATCATTTACATTTGTTATTAATTATTTGTGTTTATTCAGTTTTTTTTTTTTCAAAATGTGTAAATGTGGTCATCCTTACACTGGAGAAAGAAGTGTGTGTTTGTGTGTGTGCTGATGGTGTAGTGGTCAGAGCACACAGCCTGAGATGTGAAGTTCTCAAAGCATACCTGGGTTCAAATCTGAGTCCTGTTACTGCTCTTTACTGCTGATCCAAATACAAAAAACAAAAGTGTTTTTCCTCAATCCTGCACTGATTACTTTCCTTTCAGCAGTTCTTTTCGTGTGATCCACACAGCGAAGTGAGTTTCGTACCCAAGCCTCTACCGTAGTCTCGTTCACATTGACTGTGTGTTCAGCCACTAGCCCATCATAGCTTTCATGCTGCTTGGGCCACTTTGTCTGACTGAATTCCAGCAAATGACAGTAAAGGAAGCAATAGAGAGATTTGAACCCAGGTCTCCTGCATGAAAGCACATTACTTTATGACTTGAGCCACTGAGATGGATGAATTTAGACTGCTGGAAATAGGTTTTATTGAGAGTTTTAACAAAGATGTGATGTAATTGTAGCAAGTGAGGGTTTCGATCCTTCAGTCTTCTGTAGAGCGGTCAAAGACTCATCCACTGAGCCACAGGCCTTGACTTCTGGCAATGGTCTTTTTGTAAACCAAATAACAAAGAAATTTATCTCAAATCACAGGTAAAATTAGGAAATAGATAAAGCTCCATTCAAACATTTGCTTCACCATCCAGACTCTGTGGCTCAGGTCATGAAGTGTTGAACTTTAAACAAAGAGACCCGGGTTCAAATCTCACTATGGCTAATGTCCAGATTTAGCTTATTATATTCACCATCAGTGTCCTGCCCTGATGATGGAAGCTGATGGTGAATATAATGAGTTCAAGCTGGACGCTGATGTGAAACTCATGATGATTGAGTGAATAAACACAAGTTCTCTGAGGAAGAGACTCATAAAGACAAGAGTCCAAATCTGACTTGAATATAGCAAGAGTGGGATTTGATCCTTCGCACTTCTGTACAATAGTTAAACGCTCATCCACTGAACCACAGAGCTTGATTTTTGGATATGGTTGTTTTGTGAGCCAAATTACAAAGAAATATGTGTCAAACCTTGGTCATGATGGAGTTTGTGATAAAGCCCCATTCAGATATGTCCTCCAACATCAGACTTGGTGGCTCAGGTCATAAAGTGTTGGACTTTAATCAAGAAGACCCGGGTTCAATCCTCACTTTGACTAATGTCCACCTTCAGCTCATTATATTCACCATCCTGATGATGGACGCTGGTGTGATACTCATGATGGGTGAGTCAATAAACACAAGTTCTCTGAGGAAGAGACTCATAAAGACAAGGGTTCACATCTGATTTGTATCTTGTTTTATTGAATCAGCTCACACACAGGTCAGCATCCAAACATCAGTTCCAGCAGGTGTTCAGACAGGAGATCTGTGGCTCTGTGGTAAGAGCGCTGCCCCACGGCTTCAGGGGTTGCTGGTATCGGTCCCAGCCAGAACTCTGCGATATGTGTGAATGGTGAGTGAGTGTGAGGCGCGCCTGAAGAAGGGGGGATACCAGTTCGGTCTCCCCCTGGAGCTTCCGGAGCCGTGTCCAGCAGGGGTTATACTTTACAGCCTGCCAAAAAATTTAAAATGAACTGTATAAAAATTCTGGACCTTCGTCCCTTCCCCACCCGTTTCGGTTACCATCATTTACTTTCTAGAGGAGTGACCCTCCACAAAGCAAATGATGGTAACCGACATGTGGAACACACAATCATACATGATCTACATCACCTGTGCAGCAGCAGATGATCATCATCAGTACAGTCAGTGTCTGTCCACACGTCTCTGCTTCTGTTCAACAGTCTTACAGTCCACAACACGTCACTGATCCTGTAGAGCAGACAAACAAATACACACATTATTACACACTGAATATCTGAGCTAATAATAGACAAATATGCAAATGTTACATTTGTATTAAATATTGCGCCCTCATGTGGAGATTATTCTGAATTACGCCTTTGCAAATTTTTAATATAATGTATTTAAAATATTCGCCCTCTTGTGGTGATGTTTGTGAACTGCACTGCTGCCGCTCTAAAATAAAATTAAAAGTTCACCCTCGTGTGGAGATATTTATGAATTACACCTTTGCAAATGTAATGAATTTAAAACTTTTGCCCTCTTGTGGTGATTTGGGTGAGTTACACAACTTCAAATCTAATTTAATGGTTATAAACATGTTGCCCTCCTGTGGTGATTTTTGTGAACTGCACTGGTGCCATTCTAAAATAATGAAATTTAATATTTCACTTTCGTCTAGAGATTTTGATAAACTACATCTATTGTATATGTATAAAACTTCACAGATCATATTGTTCTTCAGGAATTCTGTATCATTTTTATAACATCAACTGTCTGCTCTTCAATTATTAGTCTATTTTCTAGCAGGCTTTTTTTGCATTTTCAATTTTTATTTAGAAGTTAATATTAGATATTATAATGTGTCGATAAACAACTGAAGAGGTCAGATGCAAAAACCTCGCAGGCTCCTATGTCTTGATTTAGTAATTTCACTTTTATGGCAGAGAATTTGTTATTTTCATCACTTTTAATATGAAGAAACTGAACAAACATCAGAGGCTGAGAAAACTGCTCGTTGTAGAAGAAAACTCCAGACGGCACTTTGAAGTTTTTGCATCTGAACTCTTCAATTGCACACTTATGTACATCTAAAAATACCTGGATATGAAAATGTAAAGGTATGCAAGTGGACATTTTCACTTACCAGTAGAGCTGGAGATAATGCATGAACTGGAACCAATGGTCCATAAATCATGTGCACTACAATGAGAAAAGAATAATTCTTCATTGTTTGTTTGTTTGCTTTATTTATATATATATACGTAAAGCTAAATATATAAAACAATAAAATTAATTAATTGCAATCAAGAAGCAAGAGACAGAAGGTGATTTTTTAAATGAGACTCAAAAGCACCAAGGGAAGAACATGACCTAATATGTAAAGGCAGACCATTCCACAGACATGAGACTGTGACAGAAAAAGCTCTGTCAGCTCTTGATTTCAACCATGGTTTGGGAACAATTAGCTGAAACTTGTTTTCCGGCCTGATTGGCCTCAATGAAGTATGCCAGTGAAGAAGCTCACTGATGTAGGTAGGCGTGGGACCATTCAAACCTTTAAAAACAAGTGGCAATGACTTGTGTTGAATCTTAAACTGGACTGGGAGCCAGTGAAGGGATGATAAAACTGGTGAGATTCTAGATTTTTTTCTGTTGCAGTTAAAAGCATAGCGGCTGCATTTTGAACCAGCTGCAGGCGTGCAATTGAAGCCTTAATAGAATTCCCTTTATTCATCAGAGGTCACCACAGCGGAATGAACCGCCAACTTATCCAGCATACGTTTTACTCAGCATATGTCCCGCCAGCTGCAACACAGTTCTGGGGAAACACCCACACACGCCAACATTTACACTCATGGACTATGGCCAGTTTTGTTTACCCAATTCACCTATAGCACATGTGTTTGGACTGTGGGGGAAACCGGTGAAGAACATACTAAGGTAAATACTATAGTATTTTATATATAGTGTAAGGGTATATAGTGTATTTACTATAGTAATTTATAGTAAATACACTATATTTACTATGATATTCACAACACCATTAAATAAAATTCACAGAATATTGTAGTATTAACTACACTAAAACTTAATAAACACTCTGCTTTAATAAAGTAATATGTGGTGTATTGTAGTAAAATATGGTATTTCCACAATAGATTAAAGTGCTTTACTATACATGTATATGAGCAATTGCATGCAAACGTCAACCTTGCATTGAAATAAATTAAGATTTCATAAAAATATGGAAACCGATTATGTTTTTTTGTGTTTTCTTGTATTTGACAGTACTTTAGAAATACTCAAAATTGAACTGTCAATGTTTTCACTATTATATTTGATTTACCAAAGTCACACGAATGAAAATTTCACACCTGTCACATCCATAACGACTCTTTTTCCTCATAAATGCAAACATGTCAAATAAAATAAAGTGAATAATTTTTGTTCTAGAGAGAGACATATTTTATCCTTTTCATTATCAATATTTATTTTGGGTCAAGCAGTTTAATCCACAGAATTTCTACAAAGTATGTTGTATACTGTAAACACGCAGACTCTTTTTGATCACATGCATAACGCATGTTTATTTTCCTCATTTAAAGTACAAAACATGTTTACAGATTGATATTTTCTGCTCCCTTAACTGGTCAGTTGCTTTGGAAAAAAATAATGCAATGTTTCAATATAATGTTAGCATAAACATTCTATGTGAATTTATGTTTTGAGTTTTTACTGCAGATGTCACATCCATAATGCTGCAATTGCTCATATATAGGTATATGTACTCAGATGTGTATTTATTTATCTTGTATTGGTTTTAATCTACAATTATTTGTGGATACTTCTGGAATTTATGAATCAGCTTTTAGGATGAATAAAGTATCTGTCTATCTATCCATCCATCTCTGCATAATTAAGTGCACCCCATTTTGAATATTTTTATCCATTTCTCAGTGAACACAAGCAATGTATTTGGTGCATTTAAACAAAACCGATTTAATAAACAGATATATTTATTAAAATAATAATTTAGTCACCAAACATATTTAGAAATCATAAGATAATACAATTAAATATTGCAAATATAAATTATAACCTACAAAACTAAATTTTAAAATAAAAATTTGGCTTCTCTTGATTTTTCCTCATTTTAAAATTTGTATTTAATATTTGTCTGTAACATAAATTCGGGTGTACTAGTTTTTGGACCATTATCGTAAGCTACTTTGTTAGATAAGCTCCAGATTTGGCTTCAGTACTGACTAAAATGCACAAATATAATATTGTATAGTTTCCTATTAAAATATGTATTTAAAATAGATTTGTGAGGGGTGTACTTACGCTGAGCATTCTATCTATCTATCTATCTATCTATCTATCTATCTATCTATCTATCTATCTATCTATCTATCTATCTAGACAACAAATTTACGTATTTGATCCCTTGACAAGATTTGGTTAAGTTCATGCCGTTTTACTGGCTTAAAGTTGGGTTCCAGCAGATGACAGCTCAGTGACAGACTCATAATGTCAGTCAACAGCTCATTACAGCCCGACAGCAAACAAAATAGCGACAGCAAGTGCAGAAATGGAGTAACGCGACTCACCTGTAAGTGACTTTCGGCGTGAAGAAGCGCTTAATTGTGTATAAAGTCTTGAGAGTTTGTATGAGAGTAATGCTGTAAGCTTGTAGTGATGTCGTTGTAGTTTTTGTGTTCAGTCATTGCTCTCTCTCTGCAGATGAATGACAGTGAGGGCGGGTCTGCAGCAGTGAAGATACACACGTGTGTCCGTTGTGTGCTGCACATATTTCACCTGACGCTCCTCCACATCCACACGCGTTTATATCCTTTGCAAAGGCTTTTTCTGATGTCAAGTTTCCACCTGATAGTCAACAAAGGCCGTTTGTTGTGCTAAAGCAGTCACGTGAGCTTTTTGGGAGTGATGTCATGTAGAACGAATTTGATTGGGCAGATTTGGTAGTGCAAGATGAGTCATCAATGTAATGTTTACATGTCTTACCTACTTCTAAAATATGAGCTCAGCTGACATTTACACAGTGAAAACTGCGTCGACTCTTCAGAAGTCTTAATAGAGCATTTCAATTTGGTTTTCTCATTGGCCAATTAACATTTTCTGCTTGTTATCATTAAAAATGATAAATAAATTAAAAATGTACAACAGGAAATACATAAGGACCATTTGTTTTTGTTTACATCTCTCAAAATAGTCTATATGACAGTAACTTTAAAGCAATTAAAACTATTGTTAAGTGGATTTAAAGCAATGTCCTACTTGCATCCTTGTTAGTAGTTAACATCTTTAACCACTATGCCACAATTTAACAGTAAGCAGTAAGGGGATTTGAACTCAAGACTCTTGACATGAAGCTCGATGATCTGAATTTTATTTTAGACATGATTTTCATTCATTCATTTTCTTTTCGGCTTAGTCCCTTTATTAATCTGGGGTCGCCACAGTGGAATGAACCGCCATAGTTTATCTAAACAGCAAACATTTAACATTTGGGACTCAGACAGTGCTGTCATAACATTTTTAGGAATCTCTAATCTAGTGTCATTTCAAAGAATAAATAACATTAATATCCTAATAATTCCTGAAAAATATATTTAACACTTAGTGTACAGCACGATTAGCACAAAACAAAAAGACAAAACTAATCATAACCCTTTTAATTACAAATCACATGTTGCTTAAGCAAATAATGTGTGAAAACATCAACTATCATTTACACTTTCATCAATTAACGCTTAGTTAGGGTTTTTAGGTGTTTTGTGCTTTTTATCGATGTACAAACCAATGAAAACAGTTGAAACAAACAAGAACCTTGATATATCTCGAACCAAGATCTTTTGGATGAAAGGCAAACTCTCAGACCACAGAGCTATGAAGTCTGTAGTTATTTGGGTTGTTGTGCTTTTTATTGATGTACAAACCAACAAGAACAGTTAAAAGTACACCTAGAACCCAGATCATTCTTGAACCTGGACCTTCTGCATGATAGGCAAACTCACAGCACACTGAGCTATCGAGTCTGTGACATAAGCTCTCATTATTTGAAGTTTTGTGCCTCTTATCGTCGTTCAAACAGATGAAAATAAGAAAAGAAAACATGCCTACAATGCAGATTTTTCTCTAACTTGAATCTTCGGGCTGAAAGGCAAGCACACAGACATTAGTAAACTCATGATACACTGCTGAACATGTTAGTAAATGTGCACCAAACTAACAGACCGTTTTAGGCATTGTTCTCCACAATGGTAACACTCGGTCATTAAAATAAAACTCGCCCTCCTGTGGTCATTCTTGTGAATTACACTGCTGGATATTATTGATCAAGTCTAATCAACTTACACATATTTCACCCGTCTTTGCCAGAGATGGGTTGCGGCTGGAAGGGCATCCGCTGCGTAAAAACGTGCTGGATAAGTTGGCAATTCATTCTGCTGTGGCGACCCTGGATTAAAAAAGGGACTAAGCCGACAAGAAAATGAATGAATGAATGACTATTTTGCCCTCCTGTGGTCATTATTGTGAATTACACAACTTTATATTATTGATCTAATAAACAAACATATTTCGCCCTCCTGTGGTCATTATTGTGAATTACACAACTTTATATTATTTATCTAATAAACTTAAACATATTTCGCCCTCCTGTGGTCATTATTGTAAACGAATTTATGTGTCACCCTCTTGTGGTGAATGTTGTGAATTACAACACTGCAAATAAAGTCAAATCCTTTTTTTATTTTTTTATTTTTTATTTGATTTCATTTTCAATTGGGTTTCCTTTCACTTTAATATTCATTTATAAAATTCTGCAATACATTTTTTACAATATAAACTCACACCAGGACTATGTATTTTAAGGAAAACCATGAAATGCATCTTTAATTCTTTCTCAAATTCCACCTTGTCACCACAAGAACACCAGCTCACAATCACTCAATTTGAGAAGCTGTAATGTACAAAGCCTCGTTTCCATCTGTATGGTTTAGGAAAGGGTTCGAATCTCGGCTCGACATAAAAAAGAAATTCATTATAAAAATATACATATATATTAAAAAAATAAATGACCATTTTAACTATACTTAAACAGAAGTATATTCTTTCAATCAAAATAATAACTATTACATTATTAATTTACCACTCTCAATCTTATTTTAAACGTGATGTGCCCTCCTGTGGTCATTATTGTAAATTACACTGCTGGATATTATTGATCAAGTCTAATAAACTTAAACATTTCGCCCTCCTGTGGTCATAACTGTGAATTACACAACGGGAGATTGAGCAAGTCTAATAAATTGAACATATTTTGCCCTCCTGTGGTCACTATTGTGAATTACACAACTGGATATTATTAATCAAATATAATAAACTTAAACATATTTCGCCCTCCTGTGGTCATTATTGTGAACTACACTGCTGGATATTATTGATCAAGTATAGTAAACTTAAAACACTCCCCTGTGGTGAATGTTATGAGTTACAGTACTGCAGATATAATCAAATAAGCTTAGTAATATTCATTTATGCAATCTTGCAATACAATTTTACAATATAAACTTATACCAGGCCTATGTATTTAAAAAACACACACACAAGAAGCACTCAATGTCACATAAAATGGCATTTAAAGTCACATTGGTAGCATTTAACACTGAATAAAGCACATAATCAGTTCTGCTGTGACCTTGCATGTAGGACATGGTGTAAAATCAGCAACAATTACAGAGGGCAGCTTTAATTTTTTTTTATAAATACAAACCGTTATAGCTTGTTAATTCAGATCCTGTGTTATTATACGGGTTTATTGTTGCTCATGTCTTCTTTCTAGGCTTCAAGACTGTAGGCCTACTACCTAAATGCAGTGTGTGTTTGTTGTTTTGGCTGCTACACGTGAGGGAACTCAAAACCTTTTGCCTAGTCATGACAAAGTGACCCACATTCTCCAAGCGTCTGGAGAAAGCAGGTCAGGGCTAAATATATCCTTCAGGACATGCAAAACAAACTCAGTCTGTGTTCTGCAAGTGCCCGGTGCGAGACTTTTCTGCTTACCTGTTTTCAAAAAATCTTTAAGACAGAGTCACTGAAGTTATTTTGGTTTTCAAATCCACAGTGCACGGCTGAAGATCAGAGTTTTGTTTATGTGCACATCTACAGAAACACAATGGACTACATGGAGCAAATGGATGAAGATCAGCTCATTGAGTATGCTATTCAGATGAGCCTCCAGGATGCTTGCGGTTACTCTGTGTTCAGTGAACCACTAAGGTACGCACAAAGATTTTCCATGCTCAGTATTTTATAGATAATAAGTTAAGTATGTAAAGTATGATCATACATGACTTTATTAAAATCAAAATGTTTGTAGCTTTACTAAATCTGAAATTAATAACAAAAACCAGTGCAAATAAAATAAACCATAATTTAAAAGATGAGTAAAACAATATTTGTGAACCGGTGAATCTTTAACTGAAGACTAGATCTGACTGGATCATTAAAATCAATCAATTGGTCACTAAAGACTCACTCTGACTGGATCATTTGACTTAATGAATCCTTAACTAAAGACTCACTCTGACTTGATCATTTGACTTAATGAATCCTTAACTAAAGACTCACTCTGACTGGATCATTTGACTTAATGAATCCTTAACTAAAGACTCACTCTGACTGGATCATTTGACTTAATGAATCCTTAACTAAAGACTCACTCTGACTGGATCATTTCACTCAATGAATCCTTAACTAAAGACTCACTCTGACTAGATCATTTGACTCAATGAATCCTTAACTAAAGACTCACTCTGACTGGATCATTTGACTTAATGAATCCTTAACAAAAGACTCACTCTGACTGGATCATTTGACTTAACGAATCCTTAACTAAAGACTCACTCTGACTGGATCATTTGAATTAGTGAATCATTAACTAAAGACTCATTTGATCCAAGGATCATTTGAATTAGTGAATCTTTAACTGAAGACTCACTCTGACCTAATCATTTGAAATTAGTGAATCTTTAACTAAAGACTCACTCTGACTGGATCATGAAAATCAGTGAATTGTTTACTAAAGATTTAATCTGATTGACTCTTTTGAATCTGTGACTGTTTATGAATCTTTAACTAAAAACTCAACCTGACTGGATCATTAAAATCAATCAATTGTCAACTAAAGACTCACTCTGACTGGATCATTTGAATTAGTGATTCATTAACTAAAGACTCATTTGATTTCATTTGACCTCATTTAATCAAATGATCATTTGAAACAGTGAATATTTAACTAAAGACTCACTCTGACTCAATCATTTGAAATGAGTGAATCTTTAACTTAAGACTCACTCTGACTGGATCATTAAAATCAGTTAATTGTCAACTAAAGACTCATTCTGGCTGGATCATTTCAATCAGTGAATCTTTAACTGAAGACTCACTCTGCCTGTATCATTAAAATAAATGTATTGTTAACTAAAGACTCAATTTGATTGACTCGTTTGAATCAGTGAATCTTTCTTTGAAAAATCACTCTGCCCAGACCGTTTGAATCAGTGCATCATTAGCTAAAGACTCACTCTGACTGACTCTTTTGAATCAGTGAATCCCCCCTGAAAACTCGCTTTGCCTCGATGGTTTGAATCAGTGAATCCTTAACAAAAGACTCGCTCAGACTGACTCTTTTGAATCAGCAAATTTTTCCGTGAAAACTCACTGCCTGCGTTTGAAACCACATATTTCATAGTACACTAAAATCAGTATGCAAGCCGAGTAGTATGTCCGAATTCATCAGTATGCGAGAAGTACCCGGATGACTTACTACTTCTGGCGAGATTCTGAAGTGGATAGATTAATAAAACTGGTTAACATTGAATATCTGCAGCTATACCTAAAAAATTTAAGTCATTACTTTGCTCCACTGTTCACATATACCACTTTCCCTTCATGCAGTGCTTTGGAAACAGCCAGTGATGAAAACCTGAAGATTTTATCTGCTATAGATCAAGGTATACTTCAAATACATGTGTGCATGATTAAATATCACATGTCAGATATTTGATACCGATGACTGCATATTGTGTGATATCTTCCAGGAGACACGTTTGCTTTAAGGAAAATGCACAAATGCAGTGAAGCCTATAAGGAAAGAGACAGCAGAGGTTTGCTGCCGATGCACAGAGCGTGTGTTCAGCCTGATTCCTGTGTGCTGGATATTGTGCTACTGGGTGAGCAGACAACATATATTTCATATGCATTCGACAGTATACAGTTGAAGTCAGTATTATTAGCTCTCCTGAATTATTAGCACACCCCCCCCCCCTGATAATCACCCCCCCCCCCCATTTCTGTTTAACAAATAAAATATTTCTCCAATACATTTCTGAACAAAATAGTTTTAATAACTCACTGATTTATTTTATCTTTGCCATGATAACAGCACATATTATTTGACTAGATATTTTACATACTAGTATTCAACTTAAAGTGACATTTAAAGGCTTAACTGGGTTAGTTAGGCAAGTTAGGGTAATTAGGTTTGTTTTGAAGACAATAAAAAAAATAGCTTAAAGGGGCTTATAAAATTGACAAAAAATGGCTTTTAAAAAATTAAAAACTGGTTTTATTCTAGCAGAAATAAAACAAATAAGACTTTCTCCAGAAGAAAATATATTATAGGAAATACTGTAAAAAAATTCTTGCTCTGTTAAACATCATTTGGGAAATATTTGGAAAAAAAAATAAAAACTATATATATATATATATATATATATATATATATATATATATATATATATATATATATATATATATATATATATTAACTGGAGGGCAAATCATTTTGCCTTCAACTATATTTCATAAACATTATATGTACTGCTTTTTTCCTGAACAGCGTGCTATGATCTGACTATGGAGGAGACGACATCTGATGGAGAAACGCCTCTGACTTTAGCTTGTCAGTCTGGACATGTGGAGAACGTGAAGGTTCTTCTCCAACATGGAGCATCTCCACACAACATGAACAGCAAGAATGAGACGCCACTTCTGCTGGGTATTACAACAGAACAACATGATAGAGCCATTGAAGACACTTGCAAAAACAAGCTGTTTAGGCTGATATCACACAGATATTATAATGACAATTTCACTTTCGCATGTGTGCTGTTTTAAAATATAAATCATAAAAGGAAAAAGGAAATACTGAATAAAATTAAGTACAATATGGATCACAATAATCTATTCTGTTTTAATAAAAAAACAAAGTATTTAAATGACAAAATTAGCAACCACAAATTGGACAAATGTGTTTTGTGAGTGCAAAATGATCTACCTGTCAAATTAAATTGGATTTTTATTATAATTTAAATTCATTCAAATATATATTTTTTTAATTTATAAATATTTAATAAATATTATCATTATTTTATTTTATATCATATAGTTTTATTATATGTCATAAGCTTCTACAAATTACAGTATAAAGTAAACTCAAACTTTACATATAAATATAAACTTTATTTACAATAAATAACTATTGAAATTAAATAACTGTAATTTTTTAAATATAATTCACAGACAGAAAATAAATAAATAAATAAATAAATAAATATATATATATATATATATATATATATATATATATATATATATATATATATATATATAAAATACACACACACACACACACACACACACAAGCTCAAAAATACCTTTTGAGTATACAATTCTACATTTCTGACTTTAATTCAACCAGCAAGTTCTTTTTTAACCGTCTAAAAGTTACCAAAGGTTTAGCTGCAAAAACCACGGCTCACTTTGTCTCCTTAACCAGTCACCTACCTAAAACTTATTTAAGGCAGACCAGCCCTCTAGCATTGTTCTTCTCGTTCTTTCGAATCCACCCTCCCTTCTCTAATTCCTTGCTTCCCATTAACAATCCTATAACCCTCTCTTTACTCCCAGGTTGAATCAGGGGGTCCAATCACTCTACCAAAACATTACAGAGATGGTAACCCCTCTGGGCATCATTGTAGGATGCACGATCAACCTACCTACCTGTTAACTGTTTATCCTCTTGCTTCCATTACTCTTCATCCCACTGTTCTCTTATCATCCCCTTCATCCATTAAATAAAATCTAGTTCAAAGTCTGGCGTGGTCTATGCCGGTGAAATTGGGCAATAAATTCTTACTCTGCATTTCCCTTTGCAGCTGTGAGGAAGGACTCCTATGATATGGTTTACGCACTGATAATGGGAGGCGCCTCTGTGGAGCAGGTGTGTCTGAGGAAATGGACGGCCACTCATGAGGCGGCTAAAGTGGGCTGTGTGGACATCCTGATGCTGCTGCTGAGACACGGCGGGAAGGTGATGGGCAGAGATGGCCATGGAGTTACACCACTGGGCATCGCAGCTGAATACGGCCATCCGCAAATACTGACCGTCCTCATTCAACATGGTCAGTCAGATGCATGCAAAGTCCGACAACAACTCAACTCTGCGTTAGTATTGTTACCAATGTTTTTAATTAAATAAATAATGTGTTACCTTTAGGTCAGGGTGGCAATAATGCAACCGAGATTAACAAAAATACCCCACAAATTCCACATAAGAAGGGCAAAAAAAAGCTCAATTAATGCACAAAACTTGAAACATGAAAATGAAGAGTGATTACTTACACCGTTGCATTCAGATCTTTGCATATAGGGCTTATTGTGGGACATATAAGTGCTGGAGTGTACACATGAAGGAGACTTGCTCCCTTTGTCAAAACTGATTGTTCTTTCTGAACTTCCCTCATCCATTTGACAAGGGGCAGGGATTCTCCTGAGGGGAAGTGCTTGGGGAAGGAAAGTTAGTGAGTGCACGTCTAAAAGTGGAGTGGGAAGCCGTTATAGTACACTCAAAATCAATTCCTCTTTCTTTCCCTCACCTATAGGGGGCGACGTCTCTGCACAAGCTACAAACGGAGACAGTGTTTTATACGACGCCGCAGGTTGTGGAAACCTGGACTGTATTTGTCTCCTCCTACAACATGGTGCCAATCCCAACGTAGCCAGTCTTGCCTATCAACTTCCAATTCACCGAGCCGCCTATGAAGGGCACTACCTGTGAGAGCACACTAGGGATGCATTCCAGTCCAATTTTTTTATGTCCTGCACTTGCTAACTTCCCTTTGTCTCATTCCCTCAGATTCCCTACGTCTTTGATTATGTTACACAACTGTTTACTACTGATAGTACATCTGGATGGATTTCAATGGAGTGTCCTAAAGCGGGTCCTGGAGGGCCGGTGTCCTGCATATTTTAGCTCCAACTTCCTTCAACACACCTGCAAGGATGTTTCTAGAAAGCCTATAAGAGCTTGGTTAGCTAGCCCAGGTGTGTCTGATTGGGGTTGGAACTAAACTTTGCAGGACACCGGCCCTCCACGACCGAGCTTGGACATGCCCGCCCTAAAGCTCTGAGCACTTGAGAACTACACTGTTGTGAGGTTACAACCATATTGCATTCTGGGACATATAGGTGATGGAGTGAACATATGAAGCAGACAAAAATCGAGGGTATATCTATGTAAGCTTCCCTCGTTCACTTCATGAAGCGGAATGCACTTCAAAATGGCGTTGGGGAATCCTCCTAAGGTACGGGGGGAAAGGAAGTTTGCAAGTGCACACCAAGGCTGCGTTCCACTCCATTTGCAATCATGGAATGTCCTTGCCTTTAGGGAATCCCCGCTGCCTCAATGTTGAACAAGAGAGGGATTAGGCTTTATATGTCTACTCCAACACTTACATGTCCCGGAATGCAATGCCATTGTCACACCACTACAGTATAGTTCCCTAGGGCTCAAGGGTTTAGGGCAGGGGTCACCAAACTTGTTCCTGGAGGGCCGGTGTCCTGCAGATTTGAGCTCCAACCCTTATCAAACACACCTGAACAAGCTAATCAAGGTCTTACTAGGTATACTTGAAACACCCAGGCAGGTGTGTTGAGGAAAGTTGAAGCTGAACCCTGCAGGGCACCGGACCTCCAGGAATGAGATTGGTGACCCCTGGTTTAGGGCATTCCATTTAAACCCATTTACATGTTCCACCCATAGTGAACACTTGTGGGATGTACTCAATGATGTACATCAATGATGTGATGGTGTATTTGGGATAAACCAAATCTCTAAACTATAAACACTGAGCTCATGATGGTTTTGGAAAACACACCATTCTATAGTACAGCAGATCTCAGTTCTGGTCCTCACGACCCCCAGCTCTGCACCTTTTGTATGTTTCTCTTACCGATTCAGAGGTTTGATTCATTTGACCATAATTGCATTAAAAATTGGACTGGAATGGAGCTATGATCAACCTTAACACACTTCCCAACCATATTACAAATCTTTGTGTCTCTTTTTAAACCTCCAGAGCTCTGAAGACATTAATTCCCATCACCACAAAAAGGGCCATCCGGCTTTCCGGGATGAGTCCGGTTCATTCTGCGGCAGACGGAGGTCAAGCACAGTGCCTCGAACTTCTCATTGAAAAAGGTTTTGATGTCAATCCAATACTGGGCTGTCATATTTCCGAAAACTATGGAGACATGAGGAAAACCCCGCTCTACTTTGCCGTCTGCAATGGAGACGTGACCTGCACAGAGATGCTTCTGAAAGCGGGAGCGAAGCCGGATTTGGACCCGCTGCGCTGCCTCCTGGTGGCGGTCAGAGCTGAGAAGTATGAGTTGGTGCGGCTGCTTCTTGCGCACGGTGCAGACGTCAACTGCATCTTTTCCGTCGTCAGTGACACTTTATTTCCTACAGCGCTGCAATACTGCTTCAAAGATGAGATGATGCTGCGCCTGCTCCTCAACAACGGATACCATGCAGAAAGCTGTTTCGAGTGTTACCATGACAACAGTGTAAAGACGTACACATGGTCAGAATTTCATAACCAGTCGTACCAAAACAAGAGCACTCCGGATAAAGTCACTGTAAGCATCACTATGCACTAAAATGTGCGTCTTATTCACTAACATCTTGGTTTATATTCATCAATGCAATTAGTCACTAGAGGAATGCAATAAATAATGCAACACAAGGTTACAGTTCAATCTTGGTAAAGTCAAAGTCAGCACTGTTTGGGGTCACAAAGCAGTTACTAGGTGAAGTTTACTTATTAACTAGTTTCAGATAATCATGTGCTTTTGATTGACCACAGCTGGACCCACATTAACTATCACATGGTTCTCCAATCATATATTGCTGTAAATAACCCTACCCACATAGCAAAATTTGTCTGGCTCAGATCTGGCCCACACAATCAGCTTTTGCTTGGCCCACATGCCACAGTGAATTACGTTACAAGGTTTGGCCAAGTCTGGCTTCCACACAAGGGGCAAACAGGAACCATATCTGGACCAAGTCTCAGTCAAGTTAATAACTGGGCCTGAACTGGGCCCGATATGTTGGTGAGTCACATCTGCAATGAGTTTGATAAACCCATGAAGTATTTCACTATAGGTGTGCTATGGACATTTTTTTTCCCCTAACATCTGGTCCAAATACTACATTTGGTATCTGGCCCATGTCTTGTGTGCTGCTTTGAAGATGGTGCTATGTCTGCAAAACCCAGGCCATGTTTGGCCCCGTTATGCCAGTGCCAAACGAACGCCTGCTGTGCCAAGCTTGTTTGGCATGCTGTCCCGGGAGAGAGTCCTGAGCTTATAAGATCCTCGAGCCCGGGGCTCCCTCCTGTTGCAAGGCGAGAGGGGAGTTTAGGCTCAGATTGAACTCAAGAACTCCCCTGCTGTAGTTGCTAATGAACAGATAGTGATTGCTCTTAAGGGATAGCTACCTACTAGGTGCATGCCTATGGTGCCGATTTGGATTAGTCAATTAACTTAAGTTGCATGTTTTTGAAGGGTGGGAAGATACCGGGGGGCGGGGGGGAAACCCACATGAGCATGGGGAGAACGTGTAAACTCTGCACAGAAACGTCGGCTGGCTTGGTATTGATTAGAATCAGAAACCTTCTTGTTGTGAAGCAACAGTGCTAACCACTGTGCCACCATGCCACCCATCTAGGAACGGAAGAGGAGTAGGGGTGGAAGGGGGGATTCTTCAAAACCAAGATGACTGTGACATGGAACTTAGGGTATTTATAGTGCCTTAGGAATCGTCTGATTGGTGAATGATAAACTAGATAATGCGGGGCCGGCCACAAGCAATCATAAGCAGGTCACCCTCTCGAAATTAGTTTAGAAATAAACTTCACTTGTTTAATTGTGATCCGTGCAGACAATACAAATGCACCACACATGATTTCCCAATTCTCCTAAATATTCCACATCTATATTTTTTGGGGCCTAATTGTGCACTCTGATCTCTGTGTGTTTTTTTTAGTTTTGTGAGTTTATTAGTGTGTCATGGATGGCACACTTGGCAGGGAGAGTGGTGCAAATACTCCTGGATTACGTGAGTCAAGCGCACATTTGCTCTAAACTGCAACGCATAATGGAAAGACAAGAGGAATGGCCTGACATCTGTGACATCCTCAGTAAGACACTTCTGTTTGCAATTCACATCTTTCAAATATATCGAATAATGATTTACATGTCTGTTTGGCACTAGGGAATCCTCGCTCTCTGAAACACCAGGCCAGACTGGTTATAAGAAGACATATGACACTGAAAAGACTGAATGACCCGGAGTTCATGAGCACTGTTCCTTTCCCCCCTGCATTGAAGAATTTCCTGCTCTACAAGGAATATGATGTTTATGGTCGAATGGGTGAATACTAGATACATTGATTTATATGAAGATTATTCCTATTTTATTATTTTTTTGTGGAAAAAATTACTACAGTGTTCATTTGTTCAATAAAGTGAAATTTTTTTTTATTAAGATCATATCTAGGCTATAAAGCAAAAATAAAATACATAATATAGAAATATTTCACAATAAAATAGTTTTTATAAAAATATTTATCAACTTTATATTTCTAATTATTTACTTTTGGGGGAGTCGGCAAGGATGGGAGGATCCCACAATACATACTTGTTTAAGTAATATAAAGACTTTGCAGAAGCTCGTGTTGCTAGAGACCCTTGTTATCTGAGCAACAACATTCCTGCACTGTCAACGCCAGTCGGCGACTCCAGAGATGCAACGGACATTATGTTCCTGTCATAAACACAGATCTAGCCCTTTGTGGTTGTTTGGATCCTATAAGTCAACAAATAGCTTATCTGACCATTCACACTCAGTCCAAATCTGATCATTACACACAGCCTGATCTGAAAGCGTACGGCCTTCAAAATCCATTCATATCTAAACCATATTAACCTTTAGCCTCTCTTCTCCCTTTTAAGCAAGGATGTATGGTGTCTGCTTTGACAAAAGCAATAATAAAGCAAAATTTAATCCCCACGATGACATCAAAAGCGAGACAAAACTGGTAAAAGGCAAAGAGAAAAGAGGATTTTTGAAAATCCTCACAATGGTTCAGGCTGATAACAGTTCCAGGGATAATCTGCCCCTCGCTATTAGCTTCTGACGTATAATACTTCAGCTCTAGGTGGTATTTTTGGCACATATGAAAACTAAAAGCGCTTAAAGCCTTTCTAGGTTGTCCGATTCTAAACAGCTAAAATGAACCAAAGATTCCCTTGATGTACCTTTAATGTTAAAGCAACTCCTTTTTGTATCTAAGTCTTTACCTTCTTGCTGCAACTTACTATTATAAGGATATGACCATCTCTCTCTAAGTCTATCTGCTTATTTTGGACATGAACAATGCAGTCAGCACTCATTGACAGGCCTCGCTGTGGCCATGTTGTGAGCTCACATGCTTTTTGCAGCTCTTTCTGATTGACTCCTGCCTCCCAAAAAAGCAACGGCATCATAGGCTGGGGCTTTGTACCACGTCTCTCTGATCCCGCTCTTAAGACCCCTCCAGCTGCCCACCACAGCAGATGAGCACTCACTCTCACTTGAACCACTCGAAGGATCCCAGAACGCTCAAAACATCTGATGCACCAACGCTGAGACAAAACCAAGACTACCAAGAGGCCATGAGTACATTCGGCTACCGTCGGGAACTCAGTAAGTACGAGGATTTGGATGAAGATGAGCTGTTGGCTTCACTCACAGCCGAGGAGCTCCAGGAGCTGGAGAAGGAGTTGGCTGATATTGACCCAGATGACAATCTCCCTATCGGATTGCGGCAAAGAGATCAGACCGCCAAGACTCCCACCGGTACATTCAGTAGGGAAGCTCTGATGAAATACTGGGAAAATGAGACGCGAAAACTGCTGGAGGAGGAAAGGATTGGATCTACAAGCCCAGGAGAGGTCAGTGCTAACAATCTTAAACACTTCCAATGGTGTCAGAAAAAAACAGTACCTTGATTGTTTTAAAAGATTGTCAATGGAAAGGTATGCTTTCAGTGGATACCTTTGTACTCAATACATTTGAGTAGTAGTATGTAGCCTACGCTTACAGACAAATACTGTTCTTGGAGGTCCACTATCATGCATATTATAACCGTTATATAATTAAACACACCTGAAACAACGAAGCAAGGTCTTACTGGCAATACAAGAAACTTTCAAACAGATGTGTTGAGGCAAGTTTGAATTCAGGTTTGTGGGACAGTGACCCCCCAAGACAGAGATTGGGGTTAGGGGTAAATAAAGTACTGTAGAAATGTGTCCGTTTAAGGGTCTGTGCTGTTATACCTTTATCGTTTATGGTTTGAAGTTAAGAAAAGCAGATGCTTTACGTGAGGATTTAAATTTCATCTATTGAATAGCTATTTATTCTGTAGAATTGCCACTTGCTAAAATATGTGATGTGTTTTAAAAGCAATACGAATTCAAAGTTAAATACACTTCTGAGGGTGTCACTAGATACACAAGGACCAATGCATGAACGTTTTCTAACATTGACCATATCAATTACAGAAAGACAAAGACAGCAGAGAAGAGGAGGAATGTGTTACAGAGAGTGACACTGAAGACTCTGGGGATGAAAAAGATGAGGTTGAAGAAAGTGAGAAAGACACAGAGAAATATAGAGAAGCTGAAGAAGACCGAGAAGAGGAAGAGGAAAGTGAAGCAGATGAACCAGTGACAGAGGAAGAGGAGGAAGAAGAAGAAGAGGAAGAAGATGACAAGGAAGAACAAGAAGAACAAAAAGAAATCGACAACCATCCTAAAATGGGACACTCAATGGAGTGTAACACTCAACCGCAGCATTGTTGGTCCTCAAATAGTCAATCCAATCAAAGGCAGATAGGTGAACCAAAAGCCCAGAGTCAGGAGCCTGGTCGCACTTCAGGAAACCCCACGGTGGCTGATGAGGTACTGGAAAAGGTCCTCAACAATGACCCAGAAACCACAGAGGTCAACCTCAACAACATTGACAACATCTCCCAAGACACTCTTATCCGATTTGCAGAAGCCTTACGCTCTAACGCACAGGTACGCGTCTTCAGCCTTGCCAACACTCATGCTGATGACCAGGTGGCTTTTGCCATTGCCAAGATGCTGAGAGAAAACCGAAACATCACAAACCTTAACATCGAGTCCAACTTTATCACAGGTAAAGGTATTCTGGCTCTGGTGCAAGCGATCACCCAAAACAATACTCTGACAGAAATGCGATTTCACAATCAAAGGCACATATGTGGAGGTCAGGTGGAGATGGAGATTGTAAAGTTACTAAGGGAAAATACCACGCTAATAAAGTTGGGCTACCAGTTCGACCTTCCAGGCCCACGTATAAGCATGACAACCCTTCTCACCCGCAATCAAGACCTCCAGAGACAGAAGAGAATGCAAGAGCTGCGTCTGCAGAATGGAGGTACAGCAACACCCACAAATCCAAGAACTGTTGCTCTTCAGAAGAGCACGAGCACTTCTTCTCCTCACAGCTCGCCTCGGAGTTCGCCATGGTCATCTCCAAAGCTACCACATGTTGACATGGCCAAGAAAAATGCTCCCCCTGCTCCTCCACCACCACCACCACCTCCACCACCTCCTCCTCCTCCACCCCCAAAAGCCTCCCTCTCAGAAAATAAACCTCCCTCCAGAATGATTGCTGAGGTGATCAAAAGGCAAGAGGAGACTTCCAAGAAACAGCAACATGGTCCCACCAAATCCAAATCCAAAAAGGGCAAAAAGAGGCCTCCAAATCAAACAGAGACGGACAGCATATTAAAGGAACTTAAGAACGCTTTGAGACCCATCAATGACAGAGAAAACTCCAGACCATCCACACCTCAGCGCTGTGCTCATGATGAACTCATGGCCGCCATCAGAGGCAGCAGCGTCAGAAATCTCAGAAGGGTGAGTATCACAAAATCTGTCAGGCTCTGTTCTGAAACAGTCAACTTTCTTGTCATCTAGTGACTTCTTGCTTGAAATGAAGTCTTAAATGACTTACTTGTAAATCTTAATAAAGACAGCGACCTATACATCTACCACACTGTTGATACACCACACCTATACATCTGAGAATCACTGTTGATTTCAATTAGGTTAGGATTAGTATGTTGCTAAGCTAATGCAAACAGTTAATATACATTGGGTACATATATTAATGGATCCAGTGGGATCAGATTCATGCGATGGTTTCTTTGAGGCTGGAAAAAAGATAGCTTATACTGTCTTTGTTTGGAACAGAGCCACAGATATTCCTGTCAATGTTTTTATGCTATTTAGATGGGGTTAAAGGCTAAATTAAATAAAAAAGCGTAATATCTATTTTGCTAGCGCGCATTGTACTTCCTAAGGTGAACAATTAATCCATGCCAATCAATAAAAAAGTTTGTTATAATGAAATAAGCTTTGCCACACTTCTAACCATTAGTTAAAACCTTTAAAAGATGAAAGGAGGAGCGCAAAAAAAAGGCCACCCCCTACTCAATATTTCATGTAATTTGGAAATACATCAACAAACTGAAATGTTCATATGTTTAAAACTAGAAATTTCCGGTTCATGTAGACTTTAAAAAGAGAAAGCAAAACCATGTGCAACTGAAAAGATGTTTGCATTGAGCAATTATGCCAAAGGTCTTGAATCTATCAAAGGTATGCAGTCTCTTTAAGCCCAGGGAACTTGTAAGATTTCATGGCATTCCTGTTGTTTTTGCCACACCTTTGTGTCACAAATCTTTATCGGATGTATTCTTTAAACACTTTAATCTCCATAACATTAGAATAGATGCAGATACAGAAAATAAAACTCAGCTAGATGTTCGATTCATTCGGTGCAGTGGAAAATTCAGCGTTACCCTCAGACAAGGGATCCTGACCTCAAAGATTCCTCACACTTAATGCTGCTATAAATAGAGGCCATCCCGATAAGGCCTTCTGGTGTTGTGGAAAATGAAAAAGAGTTCAAGTAGACTGAACTTACTAATAATAACTTTGTACAAGTAAACAAAACAAAAGCTAAATGCTATTTTGTGGCAGCATTTTAGCAAGGTCTGAATAATCTGATTCATAATAGCTGGTTGCACTATAGACAAATTGGAGGATCTGACCTTTTATTTCATTGCAGGTGGAGGTTCCTAAATATCTTCAGTAACCAGGCTGTAGGATCAAACAGCAAGGTGACACTCCTGGTTCAATACGACATCTGTGAATACCATGTGCTTTCCTCAGAATTACACCAAGGCTTAAAACAATTGATTAGAGCAGGTGTTTTGGGTTTTAAAGCCAATCATGTAAATGTGCACTGATCACAGCAAGTGCATGTTTTACATTTAAAGGTCCAGTGAAATTAATCCTGAGTAAGTTTTGAGGATATCTATGAGCTAGTGTGCCCTAAAACAGTGACGGAATGCACATTTAAAAGATGTAAACCTTGTATAAATATCCAATGATTGGACACTTCCGCCTAAATGCATAAACAATCCAAATCAACTCATACTTCAGTTTCTCATCAAATCTCGACCAATCAAATGCTCTATAGAAGGGAATCTCAAACTTGGTCCTGGAGATCTGATGTCCTGCAGATTTTAGCTCCAACTTTCCTCAACAAATCTGCAAGGGTGTTTCTAGAAAGCCTAGTATAGGGGTGCATAAACTCGGTTCGAGAGGGCTGATGGCCTGCAAAGTTTAGTTCCAACCCCAATTAGACACAGCTAATCAAGCTCTTACTAGGCCAGGGGTGTCCAAACTTAGTCCTGGAGGGCCGGCGACCTACAGATTTTAGCTCCAACACACCTACAAGAATGTTTCTAGAATGCCTAGTGAGAGCTTGATTAGCTAGCCCAGGAGTGTCTGATTGGGGTTGGAACTAAACTTTGCAGGACACCGGCCCTCCAGTCTGGACATCCCTGGCCTAGGCTCTCTAGAAACATCTTTGCAGGTGTGTTGAGGCAAGTTGGAGCTAAAATCTGCAGGACACCGGCTCTCCAGGACTGAGTTTAGACACACCTGGCCTAGTAAGAGCTTGATTAGCTAGCCCAGGTGTGTCTGATTGGGGTTGGAGCTAAAATCTGCAGGACACCAGACCTCCAGGACCAAGATTGAGAACTCCTGTTCGATAGTAACTGACATGCCCCATCCTCTTTAAAATGCTTCTCGTTTGATTAGCCTGAGCTCAAGCACTTTTACTGGCAAAGCTGTGATAAAAACGAAAAACTATTGGCTGTTTTAAATAAAGGGGAGGGGCTATTATTTATAGTAGCTCCTCCCCTTATTCAATATATCTCCTGCATTGTGTTTCTGTCGAGATTTGGTCAAATTTCGAATAAAAAAAAGCACATCACAGGACCTTTAGGCTTTCTGCATTGAGAATGACCTGGACATTTGCACTGTATTATAATTACTATTATTTAAATGATTACTAGAGCTAATAGTGTTGAGAGTTTCTGCTGTTGTTGTGGTTGTACTTTGTCATTTTTAAATGTAAAACCAACTTTGCCTTGTTAATGTTTTCAAACATCATCCATATCTGTAAAAATGTAAATATATGACTTGATTTTAAAGACTAAATGTCATTAAATGGCATCATTTCTGCATCTCGACGCGTGTTATTGTAACTTACCAAACCATTGCAAAGATCGGAAGATTATTCCATACAAAGAAAAAGAGTATTAGTTGTATGAATATCACAGTCTCCTAATCCGGACCCTGTATGCATGTTTATTTTGGAAGCGCTCACTGGGACCAAATTCACTCTGCAGCTGTTGACTTTGAATGGACAAATGTTTTTAGCATCAGCAAAGCTCGTGTTCAGGCAAAGAGCTCGGATCTGACATGCAAACACTTTCCCATGACGAAGGTTATATTGTAATAGTTTTAACAAAAGCATATCCCAGCACACAATAGACTTATTAAGCCAGAAAGTTGGGGTGGAGGGATGAAATCTACTAAGCAGGTTCTGATGGAAGTGGAATTAAAACTTGTCCTTAAACAATTCCATCCAGATTCAATCTCCCACTTGAATCAGCAAGTAATGATTTAACTCATTGTGGGATAAAATAATATTGTTTTGCACGACACTAATACGTTTCCATTCTTAATGTCGGTCTAAATTTAGCACTCTAAAAGCAGAACACAATGTCTAATGCAATCAGCTGGCTGGCTAAACTCCAGTAATGCCACATCAGACTGGGCTGGGTTTTAAAAATAATCATAACATTACAGTATTTTTGTACCTTGAATCACGGTCTGGATTAACAGCACAAAAACACAGCACAAATTCACCATGAGGCAAAATTGCTCTTTCACATTTCAAGTAAACTACTGTATTAGTATTGGGAGATTGAATTGGTATGTAAATCCTCCCCCACCCTCCCATTTTCTGGCTTAATAAATCTATTAGGTTGTTACGACTGACGTGAAATATAAAATTGAATGAGGAAATATCAGTTTACAGGATTATATTTCAATCTGCACACATTGTATAAGTTTATTTCTTTTGTCCAGCATGTAAATGACTGTCTTTACGGTTGGATGAAGGCAGTGAAGGATCAGCATGTTGACGACGGAGCATTCATTCGGTCATGTAGCTGTAAAAGAGAAACAGAAAACACCACCAAACCAGGACACGCCATGCTTTACTGACCTCTACAGACACTTTGGGTTCAGTCTCTTCTTAGTGGGACAATGAACAGAGTCACAGAACAGCTCAGCAGCTTGCAGTTAATAAAAAACTTAGTTCAGCTCCCAGTTACTGAGAGGAATGTTCTCCAATTTTGATCAGTGTTTTTTTTTTTGTGTGTGTGTGCAAATTTCTGATGACATTTTTATACTGTACTGATGACGCTGAAAATCTGAAAGAATAAATAAATACAATTTAATTTTACTCCTGCAAGGATAATTTCAAATAGGAAATCAAAAGTGGCCTTGACATTTAGGAAAATGTAATAAAGTATACATAAAAATAATAATAATAAAAAAGTTATATTTATTAATTTCTTTAGAAAAAAAAGTCACTTATTTTAGGTTGGCTAGGATAAAAAGCAGGCTTTAAAATATACTTTATTTTATTTAGAAAATTGAATATACATTATAAAACTTGCATTGTTTCCTAGCCAAACAAAAATAATTAAGGCTTTTTTTCAGAAAAAATAAATATATAACAGGTAATTGTGTTCACATTTTCTTGCTCCATTTAACATCACTTTGAAAATATTAGAAAAATATAATATTAAAATAAATATAAAAATACAATTGCATAGCATATTACATACAATTTTAAACTGGAGGTTATTGATAACCATCTAAAATATTCTGAAGTTTTTGGTAAAATTTAAGTATTTGACAAAACAATTATTTTGGTTGTAAAAACATGCAGGCTTTTAAAGATAAAGGGTGATTCAAAAAGAATACCACAACTTTGAAAATGTGTATTTAAATCAAAGAAACATGATGATATCAGCACTCCTAGTGACCAAATGAGCAGCCAAATTAAACTTTAGAGCTTCCTTAAATCGACAACAGAAAGAGCTCGGCTCTGCTTTTCTTCTTTGCAGAGTTCTTGATTTTTAAAGTTGTGGTATTCTTTTTGAATCCCCCTGTATATTACTACATTTAGAAAATTGTAATAAAAAAATTTAAAAACCCTGCACTTTCCTCCAAGCCAAACTAAAACAATTAGCACCTTTTCCCCAGAAAAAACATAAACATATAATATGACATTCTGTGTATATTTTCTTGCTCCATTTAACATCACGTCGAAAATATAACAGTAAAAAATTATTAAAAAAATATAAAAATAAAAAGTCACAGAAGAGGCTAATAATTTTATCTGTAAACTGTAAACTGTAAATTATATTGCATACAATTTTAAAGAGGTTGTTATTGATAACCATTTATAATAATCTCATTATGTAGTTTTTAAATAAATTTAAGTATTTGATGACAATTATTTCCTTAAAAAAATACAAATGTCCTTATGGTAGCAAATGTATATATATATATATATATATATACATATATATACATATATATACATACATAAAATGTGTCCCTTAAAAAGTTAATCTCTGACATATTATAAACCACCTGCACTTAAAACCACATTTCAATGTAAAATCACATTCTCTCTATACATCAAATAAATAAAACGACCAAATACATACATTTTCTGTAAATATTAACATTTATTTAGTGTACAATTTTAATAATTCTTTTTCAACCTCATTTCAAAGGTTTCAAGTCTCAATGCAAAGCAACCCTGCTTGAACGAAGAATGAAAAACCGGAAAGGATATTTGTATTTGCTCGATAGTACTGTTAAAAACTGTGGAACTCTGAAACCATAAAGTGTGCCAGAGCCTTTCTTTCGATTAGTACAGCGTCACAGTGCATTATTAGTAAAACATTGAGAACGTACAACCGTCCGCTATTTTTTATTTATATATATTTTTTAAATGGCACACATGAACCCTTATCAAACCAACAGGAATAAAAAAACATGCCCATGAGATTTGTTGTAATGCCAGTAAAAATCAAAACTACCATGTGCAAACAGGATATTTCCATTAACTGTAGTGTTTCTCACATCTAATATAGTAGCTATAGCACACAAAGTGTAAACATAACCGCCGTATTGTGCTGTATTCCCACTTTTTTTCTTTTCTGATTCGTGCAAAAATATAAACGACTCGATTTTACAAATTTGCAATGGAGCTAAATATGTTTGTTTTTTAAATTTGTTAAGAAAATAACGGCGCTAAACTATGTTCTGAATAAGAAAAGGAAGAGGAAAAAGTATGAAAATATAGTGTTCTTGCTTTGAGTCACAATATCGACATTTAAGTCTTGTTCCTTAGAGTCGTTCTCCCTTTAACGAATGACAAACAAACAAACAAACAAAATCCCGAAACATTCAACTCTACCAATCAAGAAAACTTGATGTAAAATTGCACGTTAATCGAGGAGAGGAAAAAAAATACATGATACATGACAAATTTTTACAGATTAAATGAGGTATTGCACAGATTAATACAAAAAAAAAGCTTGAAGGCAACAAAAATGTACAGCAAATCGGTCGTCCATTTACATTACAATTTTAAAAGATTTCGAAAAGACGAGAGCCATTGTAGTGTCTTAGTTCTTTTGGTCAGCCTTGGTCATCGTCAGTCTTCCCAATCTTCGTCATCCTCAAAATCATCAACGTCATCATCATCGTCGTCGTCATCTATGAAACCATGGATTGAGTGTTAACGTTAACCTAATAATAAGGTCTTAAGGGGAGCTATTATGCAAAAATCGCTTTTATAAGGGGTTTAAACACGGTTGTGTGTGCATTTAAGCAGCTTCTAATGGTAAACGTATTAATTTTATTTGTTATGATAAGACTTGATAAAATCAGTCTGCAGAAACACTTTGATTAACATTCTCCATTTGTACGTGTCATCAGAGGGGGAAAACCCCGCCCACTAGTGACCATCTCTCCCTCATTAGCATAGGACGCAAGTCTTGTTTTTATATCTGCCACTATGCTGACATACAGGCAATTCTAGCTCCGCCCCCTTTAGAAAAGAGCACAATCTCATTTGAATTTAAAGCGACAGTTACCAAAAGGGCACAATTTTAATCGAAGCCTAAAAGGGTCAGATTCAACAAGTGAAAACACGTTATTTGTGTGGCTATTTTGAGCTGAAACTTCACAACTTCTAGGGATATCGGAGACTTATTTTGCATCTTGTAAAAAGAGGCCTGATAGGTCCCCTTTAAAAGCAGCTTGGCTCACCTGAACAGTGGATCACTTTGCTACGGTTCTTCATGGCCTCCATCAGCGCTCCCACAATCCCATCTGAAGGAGCAAGAGAGGGCGGAGGAGACTCTGGAGCATCAGTTACCTGAAAATGAACATTCAGGACGTTTTTGATGGACTGGTACAACAACAACAACAACAACAACAACAGCTGTGTGTTCTGAAAATAAATGTAATGAGGAGTCTGGGGTTTTAATAATGCTATGGGTAGGCAAACAAAATCTGTGCACGAAGAAATCCACGTATTTTCGAGCCTTTCATTCAATTTATTTGTTTATTTATGTAAGATTAATACTATCGCCTGGCGCCACATCGCGTACCCCCTGCTGAGTGCGCACACACCTCACGGAACGGCCGAGTACTCGCTGCGTTCGCCGTTGTGATATTCTTTAAAACGACAGGGGGCGGTCAAAAGAAGCTGACCTTAAAATCAGATGGATAAAGAGAGAAGTAGAAAGTTTCCGGAAGTACGTCACATCATTAATATCAGTCAAGATTTTTAAACTAATTATTTTTATTGTTTTTAAGAATTATTTTAATTTTTATAACAATTCAAGATTTTTTTTTAATCAAACTTTGATGCAGCACTTGCTTTTGTTTATATCTTTTACCTATTAAAGTGTATTAAAATATTAACGACAACAGAACATGGGTTGCTCTACAAATATATTTTTTATTATGGCAAGAATAAGAATAAAAAAAAAATTAAAAAAAGCATGCATACTTAAAAAAAAAACTTTTTTTTTTTCACACTCAAGCGAACAAGCAGATGAGTCGAGCATTAACCAGGCTTAATAGTGTGTAAATATTAATTCAGTTCTTATACCAATTTCAGTTATATTGTATTATTATATGCAAATGCTTATATGTTTGCATATCATTCCCACTTAGCAAATTAACGGTAAGAAGGGCGTGGTTAAAAATATTGTGGCTGACATTAAAGAAGCACCACCACTCTAAATGCAGAAGCAGATGGTCAGATTTTGATTGAAGATTACCAAAATAAACTTTTTTCCAGTTGATTAACTTGGACAGATTAATGCCTTGTTTCCATTTACTACGGATCAGTTTGGTATGGTACAGGTCACCTTTATGAGGTTTGTATCTCCATTGCCAAATGGTATCCTTTTGTAGTAAATCTTAGTCCACTTAGCCCAAATGCCTGGTTCGAACCCAAGTTCGATTGTCCCCCTCGGATGGTTTGTGTTCACACCGTCTTTTTTCCTTCTGAACCCCGGTACACTTGCGTCATCAAGCTGCTGTTTTGTTTACGGTTTTTGCTAGGTGACGGCCACGAAAGCAAAGCGCCCAAATGAAGACTACGGTCACTCTGCTTTTACTGAATCTTTTGGTCTTGTTACCAAAACCAAAATACAGAGAGCCACTTGCATCTATCTGCCACAAAAAACATTAAAAACGTTCAGAACTTCACGCAATGTCTGCAGAAGCTGTTTTTGTTGGAGACAAGCAGACATCATCACCGTCTGCACTGGGTCAGTCTCGCTTGTCACCAAGGTAGGTGATACACAAACACACAAATGAACACTATAAAAACTAGTTTGTTGTACAGTTGGCGGAATTGTACCAGAGTTTGCATGAATCGTGCCTCAGATCACCTCTTTCAGGCGGACTTGGGTACGGTTCACAGGTGCGAACCGGAGTTCAGAAGACAGCGTTCACACTAGCTAAACGTGCCGTACTTTAAATGAACTTTCAAATGAACCCGGGTGCAGACCCAAAAGTGTTAGGGTGAAAGCACCCTTAAGATACCTGGTAGAAGACAACAAGGTTTGTTCAGAGCTTGGGTCGACCACAGCTCATCATTATATGTATTGTTACGATGTAATGTCTGAGCTGTGTCTAAAAATGTCGCTTCCTTTGTTTTAATTGTCCTGGCTTGTTGCACAAGCAAGTGATGATTCCCTATAAACCAATAGCATTCAGCTGCGTGACTAGCTCCACCCTTTTGTTACCGTTCAGTTGTGCTAAGTGACTCCTTAGATAAGGTACCAGAATAGTGGTACGGTACGGTAGCTTTTTGACAGCGGAAATTGACATACAAGTGTACCAAGCTGTACTACACCACTAATTGTCCATCTTTGATAGATTGCAAGGTTTGTATCATATGCAAACCAATATCTGCAACTGAAAAGGTGTGAACCAAATGGCCTACAGGAACTCAAGAGTTGTGACCCAACCAAACCAGTTGGGTAATCTTCGGGGGTCATATCCTTTGTCATAAAGTATTGTCTCACAGACAGTATTTTAGGTTAAGTTACTTAAAGAACGACAGGTTACGATGCCGAGGAGCTGGACTATTCTCTTCAATAAAGTCTTCTCCCCATATTGGTTAATTTACTTATTTTAAGTAATCTAAGGGCCTACTCACACTATGCCATCCGTACCGTGCCCAGGCCCGTTTGCCGGATCGTTTGAGAAGTGTAAGTGCGCTGAATCGGGCTCAAGCACGGTTCACTTGGCCGGCCCTGGCCCGGTTGGAAGAGGTGTGCCTGAGCGTGGTTCACTTGGGCTTTGGCGCGGTACGCTTGTGTGTGCGAGTGCAAAACGCGCCAAAGCCCGAAACTGAAAGCGAGACGTGACTTTTAAGGGGCTGTTTCATATGGATTTATTAATCATTCTTACTGTTCAGTGAATGCAAACTGCCGTCGTTTATTAAAGATGCAAACCCCTCACTGCACAACAGCTGCGCGGCTTCAGCAGACCTCCTCATTTCTGAAGCACGAGGGCTTTATGATTGTTTACGAGCGCCAAAAGTGGCGGATCTGTTCGGCGAAATATCTGACTGCGTGTCCCCGCATCCCTAAGAACTGTTAGGCGAAATATTTGACGGCATATCAAAGGACTGAAACGATATAACGAGAGAAATCTCCACTGTGCTGCTGAGTGAGAGAGCGCTTCTCACTGAACAGCCCAGCAGCGATGACGTAAGCGTGCCGAAGCCCGTTTTTGGTGTGAGCGCGGGCCGTCGGGGGGACAAGCGTGCTTTGGCCCGGTTTGAGGCAACTGTACCTAGTGTGAGTACGGCCTAATACATTGGTGAGCCACCCAAGAACGCTTCCCCTTAAGACAGGGGTGTCCACACTTGGTCCTGCAGGGCCGATGGCCTGAAGAATTCAGCTCCTAATCAAACACATCTGAACCAGCTAATCAATCTCTTACTAGATATACTAGAAACTTCCTGGCAGGTGTGTTGAAGCAAGTTGGAGCTGAACTCTGCAGGACACCGGCGCTCCAAGACAGAGTTTGGACACCCCTGCCTTAAGAAAAAAATGTCCACTACTAACTTTAAACTGCTGGACTTTAACTTTGCCAGTGTACTCACAGTTTTAAGTTGAATCCCCTGCCGTATTTGGTCTAAAAGTGCACCACGGCCTCCAGTTGACACGGGTGGCTTGTTGTTTTGGTCCACTTTCTTGAGCTGCGCTCCCTCTCGAATTTGGTCCAGAAATGCAGATCTGCCTCCCGGAGAGTCTCCAGAATCAACATCTTGTGGTGGAGGAGGTCCTGGTGGAGGGGGTCCTGGAGGAGGAGGAGGTGGTGGTGGTGGCGGTGGAGCTCCACCAATAGAAGGAGGCGCTGGTGGAGATATGGAGGCCGAATGGGGTGGTGGGGGTGGCGGAGGAGCCTGTGTGGGGCCTCTGCTGGGTGGAGGAGGAGGTGGTGGGGCACCCATGCCTGGTCTGGAGGGTGGAGGTGGAGGGGGGGCAGATGTGGGCGCTCTGGATGGGGGAGGTGGAGGAGGTGCCCCTCTGCCTCTGGAAGGAGGTGGGGGCGGAGGAGCGGAGTTGTGGGGAGGAGGAGGTGGTGGAGCGCCTCCTCTGGATGGTGGAGGCGGAGGAGGAGCTGGAGATAGATTGGAGAACAATGAGATGTGAATTTAAAAACATATGAATAGTCTACAAAGTAAGGAATGTGTCAAGACAGACCTTTTAATTACTACTGTAGGGGTGGGTGATTAATTGTTAACTAATTGTCAAGAATCTTGGTGACTGGAGTCAGATTTGAGCTTTAATAGTCATGTCAAAGCAGTTAGCAAATCAGCATACTATCATCTCAAAAACATTACAAGAATTAGATGCTTTGTTTCCAGTGAAGACTTAGAGAAACTTGTTCATGCTTTTATCAGCAGCAGGGTGGATTACTGTAACGGACTCCTCACTGGTCTTCCCAAAAAGACAGTCAGACAGTTAGAGCTCATCCAGAACGCTGCGGCCAGGATTCTGACCTGAACCAGAAACTAAGATCACCACATCACCACTGTCGTCAGGTCTTAACACTGGCTCCCAGTTACATTCAGAACAAATTTTTAAGAATTATTACTTGTCTATAAATCACTAAATGGCCTAGGACCTCAATACATTACACATATGCTGACTGAATACAAACCTAACAGATCCCTCAGATCTTTAGGATCATATAAACAAGAAATTCCAAGGGTTCAGTCAAAGCAGGGTGAATCGGCTTTTAGCTACTAACAGTGGCCCCACTCTTAAACCAATGCACGAACACACAAAACACACACATATGCACTTTCTGTTCTTTTTAAAGATGCTTTTCCACTGCGCGGTATGGTCCGGCATGGCTTGGCTAGACTAGTTTAGCTTCGCTCACTTTGTTTTCATTTCCACTGCAGTTTAAAGGTGCTTAAAGTGGGTGGGATTATTTAGTGATTACAGTTGCATTGTCTCTAGAGCTATGACTTCCTAAACATTCTTCCTGATTTGTAAAAGCGCTATACAAATAAAGCTGAATTGAATTGAATTTAAATCTTTTATTTCAAGTCATCTTATTCCACTATTGTTGGATTTGCTTCTTGGTTACCAATAAGAGGAATGCCTGGATCTCTTTTACTGACCAAATGTTGCCATTTCAGGCTTTGTTTACGCTCTTGCAGTGGTGTCAAACTGTTTAGTTGTGCAAATTAACAATACAGCAATGGCTGTGGTTGACTATTTAAATGAAGTGGGTTTAGCGTCTCATGACACAATTCAATGATGCTGGAAGTGACTATTCTTTCAAACCAATTGGTAATCATCAGCGTGTGTTTACATATTATTTTAGTAACAATACTGCTTGCTTGGAATCTTTATGGCACTTGTGAAAGTACCAGATACTAGGTGCAAAACGCAGTGGAAAATCCCAGAAAAGTGAGCCATACTGAACTGAACTACACATTTAATATATTTTCTAATCCATTTGTCTACTAAACTTTGCATTGTGACTGCTGGACGAATCTTCTATTTGAAGGTGTTTAAGTAAAAAGTATCTGCTAAATGCATAAAGGTAAAGGTGAATGTAAAGGAGCTGGAGCAAAATTCCCATAGGATGCAGAGTGTTCAATCTGGCTGCTTCATCAGAGATGAAAATATTCCAGAAAGTCAACGCTAGTTGAATCCTAACACAAAGATCTGAAGTGAAGAACACTCAGCGTCTCTTGGTTATGAAGACAACTCCATTACTGCAACTCAACCACGTTCACCTCCTTGGGCAGAAGTTATTTAAACTCAGGATATTGTGATGTGTTTGTTCCAGAAAGAAAACAGTAAATTTGATTTTACTAAATTGGGAAACAGTGGGTAATGATGGAGAGAATAACTCCTGCCTTGAAGATCTTTCTCATGCTCAAACAGCAACATAAAGGCCAAAAAGTGACCCTTTCGACTTCATTTTAATCACTGCAAACCCATGCAAATGTGGAAAGTAACCTACCACACCACCTTGGAGGTCCTGAAGGGCAAATTATTGAACATTATTATAATACAACATACAGTCATTTCACTTTGAGAACTTTGCACCTACAAGCAAACTCTTGGACTCACCTTGTCGTCGCATTTCGTTTTTGACTGCCTCTACTCCTCCTTGCTTCTCGATGAGGTCGTAGATGACTTTAGACGTTTCTTTGTCTTTGAGCTCGTCCTCAGAAATGCCACACATGTCGAATAGTTTCTTAAGGTCTGGGTCCAGGTTATTCAGCTGAGGAAAGATCAAGAACTCATTAAGAGAATGCAGTTAAAAAAAAATATATATATAGTAAATATAAAAAATATATTATATTATTATGAGATATTATACATTTAATATTTATTATTTTATCCATTTTTAATAATTTCTATTCTTGTCATTTTTATTTTCTTCTTTCTATTATTCTTGTTTATGTAAAGCCTTTGAATTGTTATTGTGTATGAAATGTGCTATATAAATAAACTTGCCTTGCCTATTAATATTATTTACTATATAATAAACATATTAAACAATATTAATATAGTAAATATTTTTTAAAAGACGTCAAAATAAGAAGTCAAACTAATGTTTATCTTGTTGTGGCTTTATACATCATTGAAAGTGAGACCTCAGTAGATCAAATCAACTATGAAAATGTATTTAAATAGTTTAAATGCATTTAAGTATGAGTGTGTTTTTTTTAAAACTAAATCTAATTTAGTAAGGATACATTCAATTGCTCATGTATTAATGTACGCATGTAACATTTATGCTACAAAAAAAGTTATTTTGAACATTTTATTCATTAATAAATCCTGAAATAAAATTGGACGTCATTTTCTATCACGGGAATAAAGCACATTTTAAAAGTATACTGAAACCATAAGCAGTTGGGTTTTGTAAACAATATAATATTTAGTTTATTACTATATTTTTTAATTAATTAAATTTAGACTTTGTGTGCATAAAGAGACATTACGAAAAATAAATAATTATAGAAAAACCCATTAGGAGCCATAAACTTCCAATAGCCAATAATAATAATAATAATAATAATAATAATATTAAAACAATAATAATAATAATAATATAAACGTATAATATATTTAAATAATAAATATAATTAATAATAATAATATAAATGCATAAAATAATAATATATACATGAATGATATAAATAAATATTATATAATAAATATTAAATAATAATAATGATAATAATAATAATTAGAAAAAATATATAAAAATATATAATATATAAACAATAAATAAAAATAATAATTAGAAAAAATAATAATATATATAAAATTAAAATATATAATAACAACAACAAGAACAACAACAAGAACAACAACAAGTAAATGTGTAATATACTTAAACAATAAATATAATTGTTAATACTGAAATAAATAATAACAATAATAATAATAATAAGAAAATAATATTAATAATGTATATATATATATATATATATATATATATAAACATATAATATATATAAAAATAATGAATATAAATAAAATAATAGTTACAATAATATGTAAATGTATAATACATTTAAACAATAAATATAATAATAATAATTATTATTATTATTATTAATAATAATAATAATTATTATTATTAATAATAATAATACTTATTATTATTATTAATAATAATAATATAAATTTTATAATATGTACAAATAATAAATATAAATAAGAATAATATATAAATGTAATATACATTTAAATTATAAATAGAACTAATAATAAATACATAAAAATTATAATATATGCATGTATAATAATAATAATAATAATAATAATAATAATAATAAATTTCATTAACCACTATAATCCTAATAGATTTCTTCCTGTGAGATGTAATTTTTACAAAAACCTGTTATCGATGTCTTCTTTTATAATGAATGTGGCTTACTTTGCTCCTTCATAGTCTTATGCAATAAGATTAAGACATTTTTAAACATATTTTAAGGAGGTCCGAATATTTCAGCATATTCAAGCAGACAAATGTGCAGCACGAGGGGCTTAAACTTGAAAATTCTGTCCTCTTGATAATAAAAAAAAATCTCCACGCAGATCGTCCACCAACGCAAGCCCAAATAAATCCCCTTTATGTAATCTCGCATTCAGAGGAGTTCAAATTAAAATCCGCACAGATCTAATGCGCACTCCCGGCTCCATGAATGAAATATGAGCCTCGATTTTAGGAGAATGATTGTTTCGGATTATAAAGATACAAGATTGTGTAAGAGACTTGCATTTGTGAATCGTATCCCAGCATGCCCTCTGATTCAGCAGATCAGGAAAGCATGTAAACAACTGCGCCTTAAAATGCACATAACACTGAACATCACTGATGTTAGTGTTAAGAAGATACAGTGGCGGAAATACTCACATCAAACCCTGTGTTGGGATCCCAGCCTACATGCCCCACATGCCTGAAAGAAAAAATGCATTGGGAGAGGGAGAGAGAGAGACAGAAACATAAGAAATGGTTATTTCAATTTATCTTCATTTCTATAGATCTTTTACAATGTAGATTGTGTCAAAGCAGCTTAACATAGAAGATTATAGTAAATTGAAACCGTGTCAGTCCAGTTTTCAGAGTTAAAGTTCAGTTCAGTGTGGTTTAATTTTCATTTTCTGCTGAAAGTCCAAACACTGAAGAGCAAATCCATCGATGCGCAGCTTCACAAGTCCCAAACCAAGCAAGCCAGTGGTGACAAACTTCACCAAACTTCATCAAAAAGGTAATTAATGTGTCTAATTTAAATAATCTATAAATTTATTATAATTATTATAATTATCAGATGCATTTTTGTCTTTTATTTCTTATTTGGAGTATATTTGATTAATTTGGTGATGTTACTATATTACATACTCAATTCAATTCACCTTTATTTGTATAGCGCTTTTACAATGTAGATCGTGTCAAAGCAGCTTCAAATAAGCTCTATACATATTTACCCTAAACCGCTTTGGTAATACTGGACAAAACGTCATGCCAATTAAGCAACTTGACTTAAATCAATAAGTACTTTAAATTAAACACATAATTTCATTCATTTATTTATTTTCCTTCGGCTTAGTCTCCTATCAGGAGGAGCCACAGCAGAATGAACCACCAACTATTCTAGCATATGTTTTACACAGCGGATGCCATTCCAGCTGCAATGAGCAGTGCTCGTGCACCCGCAGTCCTGTTGCTTTCAAGAGCTCCAGATTTTTTGTAAGCAGCAGTGGTTGCTTTCGCTTTTACCATTCTTTGAACAGATTATTACTTGGCCTAATGTTAACTGTGCGCGCTTGATCATCCTTACACCATCGCACACAGAATGCTTTTCACCTGCTTTCTTTTGCTAGCAGTTATTTTTGTTAATATGGTTTAATTATCATCCTTTACAATAACCTTGCTTTAATAGGAGATTAACTCTTTATTTATTCATGGTTACTTAATGATCTGGGATCTTTAGCCTGGACAAACTAATGTGTATAATCTTTTAAAATGTCAATTGATTTGTTTTTTTTTTTTTTTTAAGAGTATTTTGTTATTTAAAATTTGTAGCATGGAAATAATTAGTTTAGTGTGGCCAGAAAAAAGCCAAATCCTTAGCGTTGAGGCCTAAAAAGTCAAGTGAAATAAAAAAAAAAAAAAGTTAAGTAGGCATGTGGCCATAATACATAATTTAAATCAAGTAATTTTAGCATACCAAAGTACACTTTATGCATACAAATATATATTTTCCCAACAACAAAATTGTGGCTAGAAAAAAATACAGAGTGGCTAATAACGTTGGAAAACTACTAGCCACAATGGCTGGTGATCATAAAAGTTAATGTCAAGCCCTGATAATAATAACAATAATAATAATAATAATAATAATAATAATAATAATAATAATAATAATAATAATAATAATAACAATAATAACAACAATAATAATAATAACAATAATAATAATAATAATAATAATAATAATAACAATAATAATAATAATAATAACAATAATAATAATAATAATAATAATAATAATAATAATAATAATAAATGTTTCTTCAGCTTAGTCCCTTATTAATCGGAGGTCACCACAGCAGAACAAACCACCAACTATTTCAGCATGTTTTAAGCAGTGGATGCCCTTCCAGCCAAAACCCAGTACTGTGAAAAAATACAACAACAATACTAATAATACTACTACTACTACTACTAATAATAATAATAAATAATATAATTAATATTAATAATAATAATAATAATAATAATAAATAAATAATATTAATTTTCCTTCAGCTTAGTCCCTTATTTATTAGGGGTCACCACAGTGGAATGAACCGCAAACTATTCCAGCATCTGTTAATAAAAATAAATAAATAAATAAAATAATAATAATAATATAATATAAATATTATCTATTAATATATATGGAAATTATATATATAATAATAATAACAATAATAATAATAAAATATATATAAAAAGATCAAAATCTAAAACAGTTTAAGGTTTACGACAAGCATTGGGTAAACAAAAATAGAATAGATTGCAGGACGTTATTGACCATAAAGGAGGCTTCGTCCATCTTTAACATGATTCCTGGAATGTAGCTGGCAGATTATCCACACATGCACTCATGTCTGGCATATAGAGCATTACATGAGATTAAAAACAAGTGTCCATCCGATAACACCTCACATCATCACAGCATTAAGCTGAAGTCCAGGAATCTGAATCTAGGGCTGGTGACATCATATCAAGATCATACCGAAAGCTAATAGTCTGTCACGTGGAGGAAATGAATAGGCAAGTCAGCTTTATTTTGTAAAGCACTTTTTACAATGCAAGTTCTGTCAAAGCTGATGTAGATGGACAGGAAAATAAAGCCCTGGCAATATTTCAGATTATTATAAAAGGCACTGATATGTCCACCGATCCACTACATTAGACTTGTACACATAAACATTACCTATATGCTATAAGATGGTAGGGTAACTATATCTGTATATAGTAACTTATGTTTGATTGCCACTTTAACTTAATTTGATTGCAATGCAGTAATGTACACCTTTTGTAAAGCTGCTTTGAAACAATTATTATTGTGAAAAGTGCTTGAAATGAATTTTTAAAGTAATGATGATTATATTTTTATTTTGTAAACATTAAAAACTAACTTTTTTAATTTTAAGAAGCATTCAAATTTACAAAAATGCATTCGTAAAATATGTCAATTTTTTGTATGTTGTGATATTGTTAAAATGAGATACAACAACAACAATAAAAGTAGCTGCAACCTGTGAAACCGATGTAGCTCTAATTCTCTCATGCGCATAAAAATAATCGATAACAAAAATGAAATGATTTTTGGAGTAAGTTCTGGCAGTCTGAATAGATCTGACACGATCCCTCTATAAGAGTCAAAAGGCCACGGTCAGGACGGCATTTGACAACTCTGACTGGTTTGGGATTGGGAAAGGTGTTCAGCAAGGATGCATTTTATAGCCTACCCTGTTCAATCTGTATGCCGAAGTGGTCATGAGGTTATGCAATCTGGTTTGTTTGTGCATATGCAAGGTTTTATGCACATTTTAGCGATTATCAAATCAAAATATGCATAATATAATGATCAGAACATAACTAATGCTAAGTGCACGAGGAATGGAAAACCTGAAACCAAGTTGGTTTGAACTGTAGCGAACTCACCGAAAATTGCTCGGGGTGCCGATTTCAGCTTTGGATATTTTCTTCTTCTTGTTGTTGTTCTTGCCTTTGCTTTTGTCTTTTGCCCTGTTGAAGTTGCTTTGGAGGTTGTTCATCTGAGTGTTATTGTGGTAACGCTGATTAGTGATCTCTGGGTTCTTGATGTCCACCGTTGCCATTGGAAGTGCTGGTCCTGACGGTCCTGAAGGTACTGATGGCCCTGAAAAAGTCAAAAACAAATATGTATTTTTTAATAATGCATTTATTAATGAGGTGATTTTTTTTAAAAGTCGTTTGTGATTAATAAACAGATTAGATTCAAATCAGAGTACAGTTTTAGTGATAGTTTATTATAGCTATTTTTTTAACCAAGTACTGTTTATTTGATCAGCAAACTTAATTTCAAGCAATTCAAGCTTACTTTTAATGTTACTGTTTTTACCATGTTAATACAGCATTGACCACATTTTGGTAAAAAAAATAATGATAATAATAAAAATAAAATAAGACATGAAACAAAACAATAAAGTTTACTTGTATGTAAAAGTTTTTCACAAATGTAAAAGTTTCACCACACAACTAAAAATGGACTAAAATATGATTTTAGATATATATAAAAAAACTATGATTTTATTTGAATACAAATAATTGCAAAAAAAAAAAGCTGAATATATTTTACAAAACTTTTGACTTTAAAATAACCGCACTAATAATTTTACAAAAAAATATTTCAGACAACTAAAGGTCCTCCCCTCTACTTACCCAGAGCTAAAATGACCTAAACACAAATTAAATAAAAAATATATAATAAAATAAATATATATACAATAAAATAAATATATATAATAAAATACAATAAAAAATTTAATAAAAATACAAAAAAATGCATCTTTTAAGGATTTTTTTCACATTTTAAGTGACACAAAAAATAATTAATTAAATAACTTGTAAAGTTTTACAAATGCGAAAGTTAAATAAATGTAAATTCAAAATAAAAATCTATAACATATTAAAATAAAAAATAATGATAAAATATAATATAAATAAAAGAAAAATAAAGATATAATATGAAAAAATTAAAAATCATATTAAATAATAAATATAAAATCTATAATATAATTAAATAAAAATAAAATAAAAAATAATAGTACAATATAAAAAAAACAATATTATAAAAATATAATAAAACATAAAATAAATCAAATATAATATTAAATAAAATATATTTAATACAGTAAAAAAAACATCCTCAGAGGCTTTTTCAGCATTTGGCAAGTTTTGTTTGTATTTTTTTTCTATCTCTCTACTCTTTATTTATTTTTCCTAATAAATTTTCCATTCATCACATTCAGATCCATTGAGGATTCAATACAAATGCACCGAACTCAAAAAAGAGCATTTAACACAAAAGCATCTGAAATATCCTTCTTGTCCAACTTGAGTGTCCACTAAACCCTCTCAGGTCAAACCTACCCGCGTCCTCAACATTGTAATCCGGTGCGAACAGAAACGCAGGGCTGCAGCGTCTGCTAAAATCTCCAACCCCTAAACCCACATTGAGCAGGATTTTCCCCATCAGCACACAGGTGCGCTCGCTGTCCCCCACGGGTTGAGAGAACGGCCCGTACAGCTCGTCCTGCGGCAGAACCAGGCACTGCAGAGGAGCCAAACATCCTCCCAGATCTGAAGCCCCATCCAGAATATCGTCGGTCGGCGCGGATAGAAAAGTGGTGCAAAACATCATCTCTGAATGCAGGCGGATGAATGCAGGTGTGCTTTCTGCTTCACTCTGCCAGCATTGGATTAAGCTAAATCCCGCCTCGCTGCTTTAATCCCAGCAAATGATACACCAGCGCTGGATTTTACATAACTGCTAAAGCCAGGAATAAGCTGATGCCAATCTGCTTGGTTCTTAAAGGCGGAATCACATCAGAATGTACTCTTTGTATGTTTTAGATGTATTTAGCAGTGCTTGTTATAAATGATGCGTCTGTGCACTTCATTATTTTGCGAAAGTTAATTTAATTCAATATCATAACCGTCCCACTCCACTTGAATTGACTTTTCACTTCGGGTCACATGGAATTCCAATCAGGAATTTAGGGCGGGACTATCAGAACTGAAAGGCGGGGCTATTGCTCATTTAGGGCGGAGCTGTCAGTCCTAAAATGTGAGGATAACAGTCATTTATGGAGGAGCTAACTGTCATTTAGGGCGGAGCTATCTATCATTTAGGGCAGGGCTATTAGAACGGAAAGGCAGGTCTATTAGTCATTTAGGGTGGAGCTATCAGTCTAGAAATGCGGGGCTAATAGAAATTTAGGGCAGGGCTATCTGTCATTAAGGGCAGGGCTATTGGAACTGAAAGGTGGGGCTAATAGTTATTTAAGGCGGAGCAATCCATCATTTAGGGCAGGGCTATTAGAAATGAAAGGCAATAATAGCCTAATCTTAATCTTGGAATGAATTTGTTAGAAAATAGTTCATATAAACAACTGATAAAAACCTCTCAAACTGGTATAATATGTTTAGTAGCACCAGGGCTAATGCTTTACATTTTAATCCAAACTTTAGATCATTAGTTTGCATGTGTCTTAAATCACCTACACAGTCACTGGATGACCCAGTCTGGGTGTTAACAGCAGCTCCACACACCCAAAACAAAGACACTTGCATTACAATAAGCAGATATTTATAGGCAAAATGAACTTCAGCTCTGCTCAGTGTTTGGGATACTCTGACTCAACCAGCAGATTTTCCAGTAGAGCTGGATTTCTGTCTCTGGGTGGATGGTAAATCACAGAATTAAACTGTTACCATGAATAGGTTTGTTGGGAAGTTTGGGTGACAAGGATCTGAGGATCACATGAAGACCATCACAACTGGGAGCACATGCGTGCATCTTTGTGGATCATATTCATTGAATACTTATTTTTTTAAATTTTTTAAAATTTTATTATTTGCACATTAAATTTAAAAAATCACAAAAGGCGAAATGTAAATAAAAAATAGCTAATATATAAGAAATATATAAATAAATGAAATAAAATTGTAAAATAGCTAGTATATAATAAATATATAAATAAGTGAAATAAAATATTAAAATAGCTAGTATATAATGAATATATAAATAAATTAAATATTAAAATAGCTGGTAAATAATAAATATATAAATAAATAAAATAAAATATTAAAATATCTAATATATAATAAATATAAAAATAAATAAAATAAAATATTAAAATAGCTAGTATATAATTAATATATAAATAAATTAAATATTAAAATAGCTGGTAAATAATAAATATATAAATAAATAAAATAAAATATTAAAATATCTATTATATAATAAATATAAAAATAAATTAAATAAAATATTAAAATAGCTAGTATATAATAAATAATAAATAAAATAAAATATTAAAATAGCTAGTATATAATAAATATATAAATAAATAAAATTTAAAAATAAATAAAATGAAAATAAAATAAAAATATAAATAAAATAAATTAATAAAATATAAAACCAAATAAAATAAATAAATTAATAAAAATCCCAGAATAAACCCAGATAAACAATAATAAAAATACAATATATAAATTATATATTTAATATTATATATTATAAACTTAACTAAAAATAAAGATATTAATTTATTTATATAGACATTTAAGTGAACAATGAATCTTTTTTTAATTAATAGAGGCGAGTTATATTTATGTGCTTCAGTAAAATATAATTTTCAATTCATTCTGTACTGATGACATTTTTGTCAACTTGTACACAAAAATAAAGTATAAAATAACAAAAAATTACAATAGTTTTAACCCGTCTAGACAGAATTATCATTAACGCAACTCATTAATAAACAACCTACCATTAGGTGGCTCACGTCTTTTTTCTGCAAAACAAAATTAAGATAACCATCACTTCTAAATTCACAACTCTTTGCAAGTTTTATTAGTGAGAGCAAGATTTGATTTATTTAGTGGCGTGAAAAAGATCAGAGGACTTTTTTTGTAGTATGAAATTAGTTGAAAATGTACAGAAAAAGACTGAGAAGAACAATCGTCTGCTTGTCCCGGCAGGAGTTGCTGAGTCAGTCCACACAAACAGAGGAAGTGGTTAAAGAGCAAAGCTAATCAGAAACAGACCCAAAGAAATGCGTCCCGCAGAAACAGAAACACACACTAGACACCACAAACTGTGAGAGATGCTGTTAAAGCGATAGTTTACCCCCAAAATTAAAATGTGCTGCTCATTTATTGCCATCCAAGAGGACATAGGGGTTGCTTTTTATTTCAGTAGAATTTTTCAAGCAAAAAGAAACATATACAGGATAAACTAAAGTGACACCCGTGGCTCCTGGCAAAACACATTGTCGAGTTTCAGAAATTGAACATCATTTAAATCACTGGTTCCCAAACTTTGGTCCACTAGTGGTGCGCGAGCTTACTTCTAGTGGTACGCGGAAGAATCACCGAGTAATGAATTTAATTTGTAAAATAACACCAATGTGATCAGCATTGGCTGTTCCCTAAAGCCTACGATCAAAGCGCTGTGAATAAAATGTTTACTTTAGTGCATCGCATCATCGGCTGCTAAAAAATCAATTCGATTGGCTCAGAACTAGAGAAAGAGGTGCGTGGTGCTTGCAGAGCAGATACTTGCAAGAGCAGTGGTCTCAAACCCTCAGGACACAGATCTTCACCGGTCTATAGATCAATTAGTACCAGGTCGCACAAAAAAATCGTTAAATATTTACGTTTTATTAATAATCTGAGTCTGTACGATTATTTATCTAGAAAAAAACTTTTATTTTGAAAAATGACTGTATTCTCTTGTTACATCTCGGTCACTTGAGTGCCAAAATTTAACCCACAGGCTAGCAAAATGAGCACTGCAGCATGACGCGCTTGAGTATTCCAGGTGAAAACATCCTAACTTTTCAGAATGCCGCACCGCGAGTCACGTGACAAGAACCGACTGATTAGCTTCATATTTTGTATGGAATATAATTGCATGAATGAATATGACTCTGCCTCGTTTTCGAACTGTGCAGTGCTGTAGCTGCTTAATTTGGCCAACTATGCTACTTTATTTCAATGCCGGTGATTATGGTGGTACTTGGAGAGACGATTTGTTTCTGAGGTGGTACTTGGTGAAAATAGTTTGTGAACCACTGATTTAAAGCATTAGTGTCTTTGATTTACAGATAGCGGGAAAATCTGGAAGTTTTCTGCAATTGCATGTATTTAAAGTGAAAAATAGTCATGTTTTAGAAAACTTTTTATGTAAACGATGAGAAAACAAACATTTAATATTCAAGAAATGTCAAGTACATATTCAGTTATAGAAAATAATTAAGAGACTATTTACATTCTCGGTTCTCTCTTAATTTATGGGCATTTATTATTATTATTATCATTATTATTATTACTATATTCATTTGTTAAGTTCTGCACATAACTAATGACATCTTTTTGACATTTCAAATAAAAACTTTTGTCATTTAGTGCATTTGTTTTGCATTAAAAAACTAAAAATATGCCACATTATTCATTTTCAGGACAACACTACTAATGATTTAAACTTCAGACGAGTTAAGAAATCTTTTTTTTTTTTTTTTAATGATTCTGGATTTTTACATAAAAACAAAGAAAAAAATATTCTCAGCAAATATAATTTTATGAAAAAAAATAAATAAAAAAATAAAAAAATAAATAAAAAGTATTATATACAAAATAATATGTACATAAATTCTATATCTAAATAATATTTCATAATGATTTATAATAATAATAAATATTAATTTTTTTAAATTTGGCACAATTGTTTTGCTTTAAAGAATATTTTACTCACAACAACAAAACAACATTCAAGTGTTCTCACAATTTTTAATCAGTTTCTACGAAATAACTGAAATCACTCAGTGATATGGGGCTGTGATGTGCTCAAAACCTGCCTGGAACTTCAGTAGCTGTGTGTTTATCAGAAAATAACTGCACATCTCAGCTAATCAGAATCGAGCATACAACAGCGCTGTATGCTAACGGTCTACTGAAGAATTAAAGTCATCTTGGATGAGCTGAGGGAAATGAAATGAACAGCACATTGTCAAGTTTTAGCAGAACACAGAGACACCATAGGAAAAAATACCATAGTACTAGATAATAAATACTGTCCTTTTTAACTAGTATAGTCAATTTCTTGAATGAATCTGCTGTGGTGATTGTGTAGTTGCTATGTTAATCATTGCTTTGGCAGTTATATAAACTATATTTTGTATAAACTGTAATATTAACTATATTTTCTACAACCATAGGACGTAATATACAACAATACACCACAGTTTACTGTAGTAAAAACTACAGTACACTACAGTATTCAGTAGAGTTTGCTATAATAATTAATACTACAGTATGATGTATTAGTATTTTAATTCATTTTCTTGTCGAATTGTCCCTTTATCAATCCAGGGACGTCACAGCGGAATGAACCGCCAACTTATCCAGCACATTTTTACGCAGCGGATGCCCTTCCAGCCGCAACCCATCTCTGGGAAACATCCACACACACACACACACACACACACACACACACACACACACATACACTACGGACAATTTAGCCTACCCAATTCACCTGTACCGCATGTCTTTGGACTGTGGGGGAAACCGGAGCATCCGGAGGAAACCCACACGAGCGCAGGGAGAACATGCAAACTCCACACAGAAACGCCAACTGAGCCGAGGTTCGAACCAGCGACCCTGTGACCTTCTTGCTGTGAGGCGACAGCACTACCTACTGCGTCGCCCTAGTATTTTATTCATTGTTGTAAATATTAGTAAATACAGTATACTGTATAAAACACTTTATAAAGTAAAAAAAACACTGTAGTATAGATAGGATACGTTCAGATATAAATACAACATAAGTTATTGAATATTAATAATAATATTATAAACAAACTACCCAATACTGTAGTTTTAGTTATTGTTGTAAATGATATAATATACAGTATACTGTATAAAACACTTTATAAAGTCCAAAACACTATAGTATAAATATGATATGGTCAGGTACGAATACAAAAAAAGTTATTGAATATTAATCATAATAATAATCGTATAAACAAACTACCTAATACTGTAGTTTTAGTTATTGCAAATACTACATTATGTACTGTATAATACACTTTACTGTAGTACGGTTTCAAAACACTATAGTATTTTTTCATATGGGTCTTGACGGGACAGAAGATTGAGGCTGGAGTGTTTACCGGTTCTCCTGGATTTTCTTCCCACAAGTTCACCGATTGCAGACCTGAAGCGCTTTGCTTCTTCCTCATTGGCGAAGTTGAGTCCAATCTGGCAATTCTGAGAAGAAAAAAAAAAATTGACTGTAAAACAACACACATTAAAAGTCCTGTAAAGTGCTTTGAAAGGATCATTTTTATTGATTCATTCATTCATTTTCTTGTCGGCTTGGTCCCTTTATTAATCCGGGGTCGCCACAGCGGAATGAACCGCCGACTTATCACGTTTTTTACGCAGCGGATGCCCTTCCAGCCGCAACCCATCTCTGGGAAAGGATAATTTTTAGTCAATGTTTAATGTTATCTCAACTGAAACAAAGCAAGGGCGGGTCAGACTAGAGTAGCTCCACCCCCATTTTAAGCTCAAGCTCAAGTGCATCAAATAAAAAGCAAATGAGAAGTCAGACACTAGAGAGCATTTGATTGGTCAGAAGATGTGAGGAGAAACTAAAATATGAGATGACTTGGAATAAATAATGATCCATTTCCAAACTGCAAGCTCTGGATGTTTATATCAGGTATACATCTTCTAAGTACAAATTTTTGTCAGATCTGTTTTGTAGAATACTAGCAAACACTAATATACTAAAATAAGCTTAATCATTACATTTTTTTCAGAAGTCAGGACTTTTAAAGATGCTTAATATAAACCGGACATCAATCAAAACTCATTCAAGTCAAATTTGCACTGATGAACACACTCTTCAGGATAATATGAGCAGAAACATGTATGAATGTGTTTGAGAATGTGTCCTGAGGAGAAGTATAAGCATGCAGGGTCAATGTTTGAGAAATAACATACAAACACATGGACACACATAAGCACAGGGCATGCAGGCACAAGAGCAGAGTACTCACGTCTCCAGAAAATGTGATAAAGTATGGCCTGGAGCAGTTTATTGAAAAGTTGTTGTACATCTCTTGTTCGAATAAGGTTTTTCCATCCTGTCAAAGGAGAATACAAATGTTAATAGATTGTTTTTGTGTTTGTTTTCTTCTAAAAAGTACATGAGGGACACATGAAGAGGCAATCACCATTGTACGCTGTGTGTTTCTGATTTACTGTATATTCTGTGCATGTGTACGAACTTAAAGCTGTTGTGGTGAATTGTAGGGCTGCACGGTGTTGGAAAAATCTGACAAATCTGGAAAAATATTTTGTTTTTATGCAATATATATTGTGATAAGAATATAATTTCACCTGATGAATAAAATGGCTCCATTTGGAAAGATTTCAATCATTTAGATTGAAATTGGTTGAGATGATCAAGTCTTTTTCTATGCAGTGTGTTTGCATAAATTATAATAAATTACATATCTATCTATCTATCTATCTATCTATCTATCTATCTATCTATCTATCTATCTATCTATCTATCTATCTATCTATCTATCTATCTATCTATCTATCTATCTATCTATCTATCTATCTATCTATCTATCTATCTATCTATCTATCTATCTATCCATTTATGGTATTCTGGTGAGTCTAACAGTATTTCGATACAGAAAATGACCAATCAAACATAAAATAACATGTTCATCATTGTATAAACGATTTTAAAAAACTAATATTTAATAATATCTTTGTGTTTTAATCTTTGATATATAATTTAATCATACAATGTGACTATTGCGGATACACATATTGTTTTATCGATGTTCAATAGATATATTGTGCAGCCCTAGTGAATTGCATGAAACATGCAAGCTTTGCAATACACTGTATCACAAAAGACAAAACGTAAATAAAATAAATAACTATTATATGATAAATACGTGAAAAAAAGCACAAACAAAATCAATAAGAATAAAAATAAAATACAAAAAACAGAATATAACTAAAGTATTGCTTTCAAGTGACTATGTTGACAAGTAGAATATTTTTAGTTATATATTTATTATTATTATTTTTTTTGCCAAAAATTACAAATTGTTATTTGTTCACAATTAAAAAAAAATTATAAAATTAAATTTTAGAAATCCTACATGAAGATGTATATAAAATGTAATAATATACAACAAAAACATTTTGTTGTAGTAATATCTGAATGTACAAAAAGAACAGTTGCTGCTTTAAAAACAACTAAAGCATTTTAAAATCGTGTATTCTTATAAAATGTGGGCATGTAAAAACTAAAATAAATAAATAAATAGCAATTCTGTGCGTGCTCATTTTTTGTGATTTATAGCCATGTAGTGACTTGCATGAAACTTGTTTTTATGCAATAGACATTGCATCACAAAAAACAAAATATAAACAAAATTAAATAACTAATATATATGATATGAAATGTAAAAAAAAAAAGTATATTTTTCATGATATGAAAAAAATATATATATATGAAAAATATACAGTATAAAACAATTATAGCAAGATTTTCAAACAACCAATGTTGTCATTCAGTTAGACATTTGAACATTTAACAATGAACATTTTGTGGTATTAATCTGTATATTCAGAAAGAACAGAGTTGTTGCTTCAAAAAAAATACAAATAAATAAAATAAACAGAATAATACGTAAATATATCAAAACAATTATTATAAATCCAAATAACAATATTGTGATTAGGTATTTATTGTTGTGGGAAAGTCGGAAAACAAACAAAAAAAAAAAAAACACACAAACAACATCTAGGAAGACATAATAAATATTAATTGGCTCCAAATAAAAAGGACAGAGGTATGAAACACAATTAAACAAACAAAGTAAATATTGTTAAGCTCCAAATAAAAAGGGCAGAAAACAAAAACAAAGAAACAAACTACAAAACACATCTGCATCTGCTGACTCACTTTCATATCAATCACCCTGATGTAGTAAGATCTCTGAGTGTTGTCTTTGACCAGACAGGCTACGCCACAGCACTTCTTCACCCAGGAAGAGTTTCTGTCGGCTGCGTAGACCTGAACCACTGCTGAAGATAAACTCTGTGGACACACACAGACACAAAAAAACACGAGAGTTAGAGTCAAAATAAAACAGAGTTAGGCCAATGCATGTTTTTCAGAATGATAAAAATCTGAAAGAACACACTGGTGGAAGTCCCAAAACCCTAAATGGATCTGCTTGATTAATGGATATCAATTAAACGTCATCGGAAATCACAACATTAAGATTTAGCCATAGCCATTTTTGACCTGAGACTTCAATGAGGAAAGATCTGGGGAAACTCGGTTTGATTTGGCACTCAATTAATATTTGGCACTTGCAAAACTTCAGTATACAACTTATTTATACATTACAATTCTTAGTTCAGATTTCAGAATTCTGACTGAGTATATATGTTCACCTTAGCATAGAGAGTTTATTCCTCAAGTTAACAATCGTTTAAACATTAAAAAAAAAAAAAAAAAAAAGGTCTGGATGGACATGGGTGATTTTTTTGTCATGTCACCTTTGAGCAAAAGCAAAAGATACACCAGTCAAAACTACAGCATGGCATCCAAATAAATCACTGAATTTACAAACCAAGCGTCTGACCTGAGATGAACAAGCTGCGAAAAACCAGAACAAGAGTCTGTCAAACCACCAAAAAGAAGAGCTAAATCCTATGCTTGTGAAGATAATCTTGCTCTTCATGACACTTTTTTGTTTGTTTTTTTAAAAGGTAAGATATGCAGGTGTAGAGAGTAAAATAAATAACTAATTTCACATATTTACCCCATTAATGATTACATTAAGAACAGCAGACATTTTTACTTTTCAAAAAACAATTAAATCCCATATTTAAATATGCAAATGAGAACATTTTATAAACAAATTTGCCTTCATTTCTAAATCAAAAATCATAACATTGGATGAAGTAAAAAAAAATTGCAGAGGAGATATTGGAGATCTCTTTTTATCACTTCATAATTCGAAAAAAATGCTGCAAAGAGCTAGAAAAAAAGAAGTTTTTTCTTAGCATAATAAAAATACTGTATATACTTACTCCCAGGATGACTTATATCGAAATTGATATTTAGCCACACCATATTGGTGTTTTGTAACATCTAGTTTTTAAGAGGTGGGTTGTTAGACCAATCAACCCCCAACCTGGAGGACCAGGACATCCAAACATACACTACAGACAAATTAGCTTACCCAATTCACCTATAGCACATGTATTTGGACTGTGTGGGAAACCGGAGAACCCGGAGGAAACACACACGAACACCGGGAGAACATGCAAACTCCACACAGAAATGCCAACTGGTCCAGCTGAGACTCAAACCTGCGACCTTCTTGCTGTGAGGTGACAGCCCTACCCACTATGCCACCAAAATACTGTATATAATCCTACTATATTAGCATACAAACATACTGCTCTGGAAAAGCCTTCAGAATATAGAAATTAATAAAACTGAAAAGTTTCATGGAGATTTATGGCTCGGCGGCTCAAAACCACTTAAAGAAAAAAATCTTTTAACATATGTATTGTTAATTAAATCTACAGATACAAAGTTATGAAGTAAAATTTAAAGGGGACCCAATTTACAAGTGAAGTTTCAGCTCAAAATACAACACGAATAATGGGTTATTACCCTTTGAAACTGCCCTTTCAGGCTTTGATCCTAATTGTGGAGTTTGGTGACTGTCGCTTTAAATTCAAATGAGCTTGGGTTCTTTTTAAGAGGGCGGCGCTTTAAATGCTAATGCGTCAGCATAGTGGCAGATCCAAAACAAGACTAACGTCCTATGCTAATGAGGGAGAGATTGTCACTAATGGGCGGGGCTTTCCCCCTCTGATGACGTGTACAATGGGAGAATGTCAAACAAAGTGTTTCTGCAGACTGTTTATATCAAGTGCGAGTATAAACAATTTAATTAATTTTACCATCATGAGCTGGTTATATTTACGGCCTCCTACCACACAACTGTGTTTAAACCCTTTTTAAAAGCGATTTTTGCCTAATAGGTCCCCTTTAAGAAATGCTTATTCTTGTTGTTGACCTAATATTGGACAAGGCCTGAAAACCCTTAAAACTGAGAGGTTACTGAAATGAACATTGTCCCGCCTTAAGTGAAAAGCTGTGAAATATATGAAGACGTTCTTTCCAAGCAGCCACTTTAGGGAATTAATAATCATCATCCATTCTCAGGATGCCAAAAATGGATGGATTACATCAGTGAAGAGTGGAGCAGTACATCCAGACGGCCCTGCCAGGATCCTGTCAGGAATGAAGCTGTGCCACACGACTGAACAACCCGCCGAACCACAGGCCTGCTGGACAGTCAAACAGTCCATCAACAAGCAGATTAAAGCAGGAGGATGATTTAAAGCAAGACTTCTCCACTCTCATTGGCTGAATGAAGCATCCGGTCATCACTCAAGGGCGTCTGAAGCAGCAGCAGACGCTCAAGACAAATGCGTGACGTTATCTTAGGGTTTATCTCTGGCACATCATCATTAGTAGGAACGTCTACTGAAAGAAATGCGGTGATGTAATATTGGTGAACTCATGCATGCGTTGTGATGACATCACCGATGAGGATCAAAGGACAGAGATGGCATTTGTTGAGAATGCCGCTATTATGCACAGGCATTTTTAAGAAGAAATGAATGTACGCATTCATGAAGGACGCATTCAGTTGATCAAAAGTGACAGGGTAGGCATTCAAGATGTAGAGATTTCACTTTCTAACAAATTGAGTTCTTAAGATTTTATTTACCAAAAGAAATTTGAAAAACATGACAATATGGAAGAAATGAAGCAGTTTTGAACATGTTTATTATGGTATTAAATCAACGTCTTTGTAATCAATACTTGTTCTATGCATATATGTGTGTACATTCAAGTTATATCATACTATATTAAGTTATATTATATTGATTATATAATCTGTGCATGTGTGTGTGTTTGTGTGTGTCTAAAATTAAAGAGAAAATAAAATAAAGCAATCAAAATGTAACTAATAATAACATACAAATGAAATATTATTAAAATAAACTAAAACAATTCAAATAAGCTATTGCATTTTAACAATGTAATTATAACAAATACAAATCTATAAACAATTATATTTATAGATGATATACTCATTTAATTTCTAATATAAATTTTATATATATATATATATATATATATATATATATATATATATATATATATATATATATATATATATATATATATATATATAACAAAATAAGTTCAATTTAACAAACTAAAAATATAATATATTTATATAAAAGAATATGGACATATAGAAGAATCATATATTCACGCGTATCACTTACAGTATGTAAATTTGGGTTGTTGCTAGATCGAATTCGTTTGCGGCCGGAGGTTAACAAGAATTATTTCTATCATTTATGAAATTTACCATTTATTGTATTTTATTAACGTGTACCCCCCTCAACCATCACAGTAATGTAAAAGCAGTAATTGTACCGAGTATTATTTAAGTAATCTATTAAATTACCCAATAAACTTTATTTTTTTAATGGCTACTCGCACCCCAACCCTAAACCCAACTGTCACAGTATTGTCAAAATATTAATTATTGTTATACAGTGTCATAAAAAATGCTACTATATCAATTTGCATATTGCACTTCCTGCCGCATATCAGATCTAGACTTTACAGTAAATTAGGATATTGGAAAAAAAATGATATTGCGAAAAAAAACTGATATTGCGATATTTTATGTAACTGCGATAAATATTGCGATATGAATACACCTAATTCCAGATAATTTGCACTATTTGACAGTTTTCTGGAGAGTCTAAGAGTGTTCAGGTACAGAAACTGACTAAATACAATGCAAAAAAAAAATGCTTTTCGTACTTTACTTTGTCTCGTTTTTTTATTGTCAACTTCAGAAGGAATAAGTAAAAATTAAGAGTTTATTCTTAAAACAAGTCAAATGATTTGCCAGTGGGCTACGTAAAATCATTTCGCTTTGAGATGTAGATGTTTGGACTAGAAACAAGACAAAAAAATACCAAGAAAAACTCTCTTTTTATTTCTTTTTTTGGGGGGTTAATCTTGTGTGTCCAATACGACATCTGGTCAAAATCCCTTCAAACAAAGTATCTGTTTATATGTCATCTAGTAGTGTATTAAATTATATTTAATCTAATAATTTATCAAAGTATATTTAATCTAGTAATGTTCAACTTAAAATTTTTTTGTTAAAATTCAGCCCGTATAAACGTTTGAAACATTTCAGCCCTGTTTGAAACCATTTACCTTAAAAAAAAAAAAAGTAAATCAAATAAAATATTTTTTTTTCTGTGTACTCAAACATGTCTTTTAAAAAAATGTGAGATTTCAGCAATCTTCACAGTTCAGAAAAACAAAACTGATAGAAACTTGGCCGGCAGGAACTACCTGAGAGGACTGGTTCTCCAACAACCCCCCCCACATTCACATGCAAAAGAAGAACCACACACAAACACAGCCAGAAACTCAGAAAATCAGCAGCCCACATCCTCAGAGCGGGCTGATCCAGCAGTCCTGGCCTAAAACTAAAGTCTTCCCTGCTTCCAATGCAGCTCCAGAGCACTGCTCCCTTTACTAGCGAAATCGCAGCATGAATACTAACAAGCAAAAAGAAGTTCACAGCTCACGGTTCTGCGATTCAGAGCAAATCAGCCGAATCCTCAAAGGAGAAAAGTGGACAACACACCCATTTCAATCATGCCACAGCACGCAGGTCCAATATGAACAGGCTTGCAAAATATAACTCCATAAATAAATGTCAAAAGGTGCGATTATAAGCCCTTGGGATGCATTGATATTACAAATGCACTGTCAACGTCATTATCAGCACATCGCAATACTTTTTTCTACAACATGCATTGTGATATTGAGGATAATTTTAAGGGATTAAATGAATAGGTCCGTTAAAAAATAAATAAATCATAATCATAATACATTGGGAGGATTTCCTATGCATCTGCATAGATTATAAAACACCAATCACAAACATTGATAAATACAGCAGAGATGTTGAGTTGCGATTATGATGACCAGGAGGCACGTTTCAAAACGGGATTTGTGGAGACATTGAAAAGTCTAACCCTAATAAAGTGAGACATTTTCATTTGGATGCGTTTTGAGTTGGAGTTATCATTTATAAGGAGCACAGTTGATCGCACTGGTACACACTTTCCTATCATTTCAGACAGTACTGAAGAAATTTACTCCTAAAACTCATAGACCTTCTCATATTCCGACTTCTTAGTGAGGGCGTTACATTTAATAATGCCATTAAAAAAAACATTTCAGTAATTTTCAAACATTTTGTTAGTTTTAAACAGTCATGTTTAAAGATCTTCAATAAAATTTGTTGAATTCAATACTGGTAATATTAAATTGCGCTTTCTGAAATATTGAAAGTGTTATTTCTCGGTTAACAAGATTTCTCAGTTAAATTTCTCAGTTTTTGACAATTGAGTACAATTGTTGAAGCAAAAACATGAACAAATTTGATCTCAAATTTAATTAAACACTTTTAAGTACCGATGTTTGTTTTTAAATACTTTCCAGGCCTCGAATCTAAAATCTAATCCTTGAATTTAGTCTGAAATTAAAGTACCTTCTAGAAGCATATGAACCCTACAATTTTTTTTTTAATTAATAAAAATGGCTTTTCTCTAGGGGAATGTTACACTGCTATCTCAATAGAAACATCTCTGTTACTCAAGAGCAATAATGCATATTAACCCATTATTGTGCAGCCCTGAAGTGAAAAATCAATGACTTGTTTTAGAAAAACAGTGGCAGTTCTAAATCCTCTGGGTCTGGTGGTTCTAGTTCCACATATATAAAACACCTGCGTGCTCTCAAGTCAAAAGCAGAAGTTTTCATTTTCATGATCCACACAACACGGGTTTATTCTTGCAGGAACAGAACAGGTAATGCAGTGGAATGAGGAAACAGAAGTTTACGCCTACAGATGAATAAGTGAGCAAGCAGATGATTCTATGCGTCTGGACAAAATATTACTCAAATCAAAGGCCTAACGCAAGGAGGATCATTCGAGTTTCAACATGATATGACACAACAGACTGACGGAAATCTGATTACAGTGATGGTTAAACAACTTGAGTTTATGACTGCATTCAGCAGCATGATTATGATGACATATAATCTGTTTATCTGGGTCAAAAATGAAACGCCTATCATGCATTTTTACCATGATCTATATGAGACAGAGCCGCACTAAACGTCATTCAGCGGAAAGACAGACAAATGCATGTTTAGAATCACTTGATGACATTTGAATTGTCATTTTAAATCTTAATATTTTGCCACTAAACTTAAATTTTAGTATGATCACTCATTATTTGATCATTTTAGGTCAAAATTATTTTATTTTTGCATAAATATATTTATTAGACTGAAGGACAGAACATTATTTCAACCATATTTCAACATTTAACTCTGACAAAAGTTATTTGAATTACTAAAGATGATAGGGCCTACTTTATTTGCATATTTTAAGATTTGGGAATTTAAATTGATGTGAACACCTTAATACATATAGATAATGAATTAATTTAATGCATGTGTTTATTTTAACATATTCTGCAAGTAAATATGGCTAAAATGGGTTAATTTGGAAACATACTAACGTTATAGAGTAAACATGCGGTGAAATTTGAGTTTTAAACATATCCATTAAATAAAGTGCATGATACAAGTCTTACAAACAAAATTAACGAATCAGTCCCTGTGGGATTTTGCAGGAACTTTTTATTTTTTTTTTTATGTTTGCAGCCTAAAATGAATTATCTCATGGCTTTTCTCAAAATCTTTGGCATTTATGGTATTTAACATATGGTATGGGAAGTATTTGCCTCAATTCCAGTGTACTGCTGTGAAAATACACAAAAATCTTGTATACAATTGTTCATTTTTTGAACCATTAGACTTATAAAACCCTTAAGTGACTGGTTAACTAATGAACTAATAAAGCCAAATCTTAAAATTGCTCCTCCCAACCTTGAATATGTTGTTAAATTCTTAACAGTGTAACCAACATGCCAATTTCCTCTTAGAAGAAACACTTATGAAAGCCAGGTTTACCATTATTACACAAGCTGGTCTCTATAGGTGAAAGTCTCAAATCTGAACCCCGGTCTGCTTTATGTTGTGAATCTGAAACAGTCACTCTCAAAGGAGGAAGACGAGTTTTATGAGGTGCAGTCAGGTGACTGGCTCGGTCTGTCATAAACACAGGCCATTAAATCAAGCACTTACAGGAACATAATAAAAAGCCTGTGCCAGTATAATGATTAAGAAAAACAGAGTGCACAAACCACCATAACAATCTTTCAATCAGATGAACCACCAATGCAGTTTATCCGAACTTTATTTACCAACTCAGACTGGAGAGTATGAGTTTATTCTGTATATTAGACGTGGATATGTATATGGGAGTTTGTTTTAAATGATTTAATCAGAAGTATTAAGGTAAGGTTGGTTTTAGGCATGGTATAAGATTCTGACGATGATAACCTTGGGTAATATCATGGTTTCACGGTATTGTTATTACTGCTCTGAAATGTATTCTTTTTAAATGTCTGGGTAAAAAACATTTTCCCCCATTTGAAAACTATACATTATATATTTTTGAAAGATTTTAAATATTTTGGAGCTGTCATGTCAATAATAAAAATTAATCATTGACTTCTGCTTTCTTCATTAGTTTCAAAAACACAGATTTCTTTACAATTTAAAAGGGCAACTTTAGATATCTTTTCTGCTGGAGATACGGTTGTCCTAAAAGCAAAGCAAAAAAAAAAAGGAAATAAAAAATGTTACACATACCTTAGAAACCGTATTACAGAAAATTTTGTCGGTTTTAAAACCGCGGTATAGCTTGAAGACAGTTATCGTCCCATGCCTAGTTGGTTTTATATTTGCTTATTCGTTCATTTTTTGTGTGACATGCTCCCTATATTGTTTACAATGCTATATATATTGAATATTCGGTCTGAAATAGCATGCAAGTATGACTTCAAAACAACATTTTGTTCTGTTCTCTACCTTTGTTGTTAAAGGTTTTGTACCTTTTCTGTACATTTTTGTATTCTTGTTGAACGCTTTAATAAATAAATAAATAAATAAAATAAAAAGAAAGGATACAGCTGAAAAAAAATAAAAAAGGGATACACAAAAAAAAAAAGACTTCAAAACAACATTAGCTCTATTTAATTGATTGAAGTTGTACGTTAACAGCCAATGGCTGTTAATTTGATTTCCCTATTTACAATCTGCAAACAATACTTTTCTGAAATTAAATTATAAAGGAGAAACTCTGAATGTGCGAATATAAAACCAACTTTACCTGAATATCAGCACTAGGCCCATGAGCTCACCTGAAACTTTAAACATTCCGGATACAGAAAGGCTAATGCGTGTTGACACTGCACCAAAACATTCTGTCAGACAGATACGCATGTTAAACTCTGCATCTCATTCCTGAAAGTGTGTGTGTTCCGTTCCAATGGAACCCTAAGTGATACATTGTATACGTGTTCCGTTCTAATGGAATCTTAAGTGATACATCGTATCGAGTTGGCAACATCAGACAACATGACTGAACATTTACCTGGCTAAGAAATCAAGCAAACGCTTGGGAACTTACGCTGCATTTCTTGCCCAAATGGTTGAAGAGCACTTCGTTTTCCTGATGGGTGAGAAGAATAGAGCCAACATTGAGCGCAGGCCTCCTGTTTGAAGGTGGACCGCTCATTTTTGACAATCCGATGGTGCGAACTTGTGATCAGGAAGTGTTAAATAGAAAATATGCGTTCATTGATCTCTGATCACCGCAGCTTGTATCCCAATCCGCTCATATCCAGACCCGTGAGCCTCGGCCGAGGAGGGTTAAGAGAGATCCTGGGTCTCGGAAATAAAAGGCGATCCTCGTCTGCTTATCCGATGTCGTCTTGAGACTCTAAACTTTCATCTGAACTCCTGTGCACCGAGCTTGAGATCCAACATGGCAGTGCCACCGTTGCGCATGACAGAAGAGACGTTTACAAATCCTACTACGGCGAACGCTCAGTGCTTGAATATTAATGACGCACCGTGGCGTCGGATTAACTAGCTGTATCTGATTGGGTGAGGGGCGGGATTTGTGTCATTCGGCGAATCAGAGAGTTCAGGGCAGTGGCTTGTGGAAATTGGATAAAAAACGCGACTAGACGCTCCAGGGAGGGTTACCAGGCAACATAAAAAAGTCAGCCTTCGCTATAGTAAGATACAGATCGTATTTAGTCTACATATAATACTAAAAGTCTTACATTAAGCATATAATTTTGTTATTAGACATAATATCCGCAGTTAATGCATTTATCACAATAATTAAAAAGAGTGACGCAGAGTCATGACGTGAGTGTTTTTAATGAATATTAAAACGAATGTGTGTGCTATAATAATAATAATAATAATAATAATAATAATAATAATAATAATAATACAACTAAAGGAAGAGGAAATAATCCACAACAACAATGCCAAGTGGATGTAAGGGTAATTAGAGGAGGAATGTGACCTGCGAGGTCACTTTACACATAAAGTCCAGGACAACAAAGTTGAACAATTAAAATAACAATTGGTGCTGAGCAAAAATAGCTGCTTGAACTTTATTTGCTCCTTGATGCTTTGTGGTGTGCCTATTAATATAATCATCAGATTCAATATGTCCTAGTATGACAAAAGGAGGATATGTTCTCTGATTTGGGCTTCAATAAACAGTTCCGAAGGGTTGTTGCTAGAGCGGATACGTTTGCAGCCGGAAGTAAACGCAAATTATTTCTATTATTTATTAAATTTCTCATTTGTTGTATTTTAATAACGTCTACCCCCACCACAACCCTAAACCCAACCGTCACAGTAATGTAAAAACTGTAGTTGTACCAAGTTTTAGTTATGTTATCTATTAAATTACCCAATAAAATGTTTTTTTTTAACGCCTACCCCCACCCCAACCCTAAACCCAACCCTCACAGTACTGTAAAAATATTAATTATTGTTAAACAGTGTCATTAAAAAAATGCTGCTTTATTAATGTGCATATCGCACTTCCGGCCGGCCGCATATCCGATCTAGACTTTACCGTTCCGAAGGCATTTGAGCTGCCATATTGAAAGGGATTATAGTGTGGACTTCTGTAAAGCGTCAATGTTGATCATGTAAAACATGCAAATTGATGTATTTATTTCATGGAAGAACCAGTCTGTTCTTTTGCGCTTGGTAAAATCTTGACTTCAGATGAAGAGCGAGTTCAATAACGTGTGTTGATTGCTTCATTCTTGTGTACGTTTTGCTATGTGGTGAAAATATTTGCTGCTGACAACACTCAGGAGAATTTCCAGTCCCGGCATGAAGCTTTAGTCACTCCTAAACATGATTGAGCCGTGAGGTAAATACACAAAAACCTGAAAAACCAGTTAGATGTGTGTGAGAGAGAATCCGGTCAGTATTACACACAGCTGAATATGCTAGAAGTGTGAAAGAACAAAATATCTGCTAATGGACAGTCATGAATGTGTGTTTTGTCAGGAACTGTCCACAGCTCATGATGCATTCATACCTTCAGCTTAGTCTCTATTTCAGAGGTCGACTCAGCGAAATGAACCACCAACTATTCTGGCATATGTATTACGCAGGGGATGCTCTTCCAGCCGCAACACAGTACTGGAAAACAACCATGCACACTCATTCACACACACACTCATACACTATGCACAATTTAGTTGATTCAATTCACCTATAGTGCATATGTGTGGACTGTGGGGGAAACCGGAGCACTTAGAAACTCACGCCAACACGGGGAGAACATGCAAACTCCACACAGAAATGCCAAATGATTCAGCTCATTTGAACTAGCTCATGATTCGTAGGTGTTTATTTACACTTTTGAATTGCCTCATGGGATTCGATCTCTGCTCTGACAACATGATTACACTGAAAATTTTACTTTTATTCACCTTTTTATTAGTTTGAAATGGTTTATTGTCTGGGATGGGACAAATTATAGTATAAACCTGGTCAGGAGGATCAAGTGCTTTATTTTTAAAGGACTTTTTGATAGTAAAAAAAAAGCAAAGGAATTTAGCTGCTTTTTAAAAGCAATCTTATATTTCCCCATCACATCTATGTTATTTTAAACACTGAAAATGTATATATAAAAAAAAACGTGTCATTCACTTTTTGCTGCTTATATTTTTTTAAACATTTTTTACTAAGGAATAAGCATCTAGCACTGTATGTTAATGGTTTTAAAAATATAATTATAATTAACAACATGAATGTTAACCACAATAATAATGATAAATAATAATAATAATAATAATAATAATAATAATAATAATAATAATAATTTAATGAATTTCTTGGCTGGAAGGGCATCAGCAGTGTGATGACATATGCTGGATAAGTTGCAGTTGGCGGTTTATTCTGCTGTGGTCACCCCTGATTAATAAAGAGACTAAGCTAGAAAGAAAATGAATGAATGAATAATGGATTTCTTCAACTTCTTTTTCATCTTGTTGCTTTTATTTTGTGTTTTTTGTTTTGTTTTTGTTTTTCCAAGTAGGCCTTAGGTACACTGTAAAAAAAAAATCCTGGTTGCCTTAACATTGTAAGCTGAATCAAATGAACTATGAGTTCATTGAATTAATTCACTTAATATGTTAAACTGACTTAAAACTGCTTGCATAACTCATAAATTAAGTTAGAACATGATTAACTTAGTATAGCGTATGAGCGTGAATGAGCGTGTATGGGTGTTTCCCTGTACTGGAAGGGCATCCGCTGTGTATGCTGGAATAGTTGATGGTTAATTTCGCTGTGGTGACCCCTGATAAATAATGCACCTACTGTAGCCGCAGAAAAATTAATGAATGACACAATTTGAGATTATTCATACCCCTGCCAAATTCTGACCTTAAGTTACTTTCATTTCACCAGCAATTTTAGGGGGAGCAGAAATGACACAGGCTACTCCTAAAAGATGATAAGACGATGTAAAAGAGGCATTATCGTGGGAAAAGAAATATGTATCCGCTTTCATTTACATTTAAAATAACTTGAAGTCAAAATTTGCCAGGGGTATGAATAGTTTCGGGCTGGACTGTACATTTAAAATACTCAGGCATTTATTTTTACTTGTTTTTGCATAGACAAGTGTATAATGGTATGTACATTGAATGTTAATTACTTTTGTGTGGTCACATAGCCAATTACTAATTGTTATGTTTGGCATTATTTTAATTATATAAGGTTTGAGCATGGGTGCAGGGTTATTTGTGTAAGGAATTAATTTTTAGCCAATAAATCTTGTCATTATTATTATTATCTTGCTTTATTTCTACACTTCTACACAATTATTCCTGGCAGCATATGTTTTTAGTTCATTGTAACTTATTAAAGCCAATATAGTGCATGTCTTTGGACTGTGAGGGAAACCAGAGCACCCGGAGGAAACCCACACCAACACTGGTAGAACATGCAAACTCCACACAGAAATGCCAACTGGTCCAGCTGGGACTCGAACCAGAGACTTTCTTGCTGTTAGGCGACACTGCTAGCCACTGAGCCACCATGCCACCCCCAAATGAATTATATCTACTACCAATAAGTAATGCTTAAAGGACAGTCAACCCACTGGCCGTAAGCCACTGACACTCATTACACAAAGACTGATAAGAACTTCTTATCTGAAATCATGAGAGTTGCAGGAATCCACAGCACTTATAACCTTTCACACATCCAGGCCTCCTTCTGCTCTGCTATTTTTGCTTCTTTGAGTTCTGCACGTTTGCTATTCAAGGACTGATTCAGGACAAGCATAATATTTGCTCTATAATGTTCTGCTGACGCTCTTGGCCAGAGGAGGCTGAATGTGCTCATCTGAATTACAGCAGTATTGGATTATGCAGCAAGTATGCTTATGAAGACCAGCTGTTCCTTAAACACACTCTCTACTGTCCAGCACACACACATCAAACACACATTCATACAGTTTGCAGCAGTGTGTATTACATCAGAATCAAACTTGCAGCAAAACACACCTTCTGCTCAAGTTCAGTTTTTATTAAGGCTATGAACAAACATCTTTCCAGTAATGTTAACAGAACCTTTGCTTAAAGCTTTTGGGTCTTTAATAAAGTACTCACAATATTAGCAAACACACACAGCCACAAACACAGACCAGACAAGGACCACGATGTTTGACAACTGTTCTCATATGTTGTATTATATGTTGAGACACTAAAAAAACCTAATACCTAGATATTCACCGCCTCAGTGCATGCTGAAGGTCCATGCAAAACATGTTTAATAGAAACATCTTGCATTTGTTAAAGGCACAGTTCCCCCAAAACTGAATATTCAGTCTTAATTGTCTTTAATTATTCATCCAAATAACCAAATAAAACCCTAAATCAATTAAAACCTGTTTAAGTTTCTTTTTCTTCAGGAGAAATCCTGAAGAAATTTGAAAGCCTGTAAGCATTCAAGTCCATAGTATGTGTTTTTTTTTACTATGGAAGTCAATGGTTACAGATGTTTGGCTTTTTTCAAAACATCTTCTTTAGTGTTAAACAGAATAAAGAAGCTGATAAAGGTTTGGAAGCACTTTAGGATGAAAATAATGAATAAAAATTTGGCTGAACGGACTCTTTTCACATTTCCGGGTTTCTCAGTGTGGAAACATAGAGTGCAGTGAATGGGAGAAAATAACAAATCATTTGTTTACAATCTTGTTTGCTAAAATATGAAAAGACTCGATGATGTTATCAAGTCTATAAAGGAAAAAAAAAATCTGTGACACTGATAACGGCAGCCAGAAGAGAGAACAACATTAAATGTACTGTCCTGCCCCAATACACTCTGCATTTCAAACACTTTGCACAAGCGGTAGTTTGCTCTTGTAATTTGATGCAAAGATGACATAATACATAAATAAATATAAATGTTCATAAATAAAAACAATGAAAATATTAAAAACTGATGACTGATAAACAC